CCTTCTTCTTTAGCTCCGCCTTCTCACACCTGACGCCCTGCCGACGAACTCCACGCGGCCGACCATGGAGACATTTCTCCATGGATGGAGAACCCTTTGGGGCAAACACAAGTTGTGACCAACTGTTGACCCCGCGGGAAAGGTCGGGAAAGTCACCGTGAACTCTGAGGCCAAGATTACATCTGGTCCAGTTCTATGAACGCGGAGGAAAGCTGCGTCCGTGCTTCCTGTCTCGTCTCCTTTAGGCAACACTGGAACTGTTCTTTTGGAAAGAGAAGGAGATAACCCCGTCCCACAATCCCATGCCGCAGCAACGATTAAAAACAGGGTTTTTATTAGTCCGCCGTTATCTTTCCTATTTGGATATTCATGCCGTCGCAGCAGGAACCAGAGTAAGTAGTCAACAGTGGAACAACAATTGTCCACATTCAGGCCTGCCGGCGGTGAGGCCTGCAGGAGGTTCGGCGAATCCATCTCTGCCAAATTTCCACTGGTTTTTTACAGCAGTTTTTTTTTTTTGACAGTTTGGACCGGCTTCAGCGGTGCCAGCGGGGAGGAGGCGTTGTTTATCATTAAAACATCTCGGAGGCGTGGCAACGGCGAAAAAAGAAGAAGTTCATATTCTCTGCTGCACTCCACACCTTCCTTAAAGCATCAAGAGAAAGCAGCAGCAACGTGGCGCACGACACATCGTGCAGAAATCAGTTTCTCTCTTCTCATTCTTATTAATGTTCACGTGTCATTCTTCTTCTTGCATCATCATCATGTCCAGTTAGAAGTACCTCTATATTCCCTGCAGATTCAACGTAATGCCGTTGAGAAGTTTCTGTTTTTAGTCTCCACAGTGAAACACATTAAATATAACAGAGAACGCCTTTCAGCCCCCACAATCCCCTCCTGGCTGCTCGCACACGATGGCGACTATTTCAGACATTTTACAGAGATTAGTGGATTTTTTGAGGTATTTAAAAAGTGCTTTACCAGCACTGACCCAGATAAGCAATCTGAAGTTAAACCACAAACGGTCCACGAGATGAAACCCCACAACCGGCGCCGCCTGTGCACTTCCTGTGAAGCCGTCCTCCCCCGGGGAGGGACGCGGGACACGCCTCCGCTCCGACCAACGCAGACACCGTGACACCCACCGGGTGCTTCCCGCGGGCCCTCGGTCGGCTTTAGCGCCGCTGCGGTTTGAGGGCGTAGTGGGTCTCGGGTTGCATCTCGCTGCGTTATGAGCTGCGACCCCCCCCTCCCACCCCGCCGTCCTTCCACGCCGTCCTCCCCCCCAGAGGGCAGCGGGCCTGCTTCTCGTCAAGCCTCCGCCTGTTTGAGTTCCAGCTCCAGCACCTCGGCCCCACAGGAGCCGACCCTCAGCTCACAGCTTCCATTGCAGTAACATGTAGGGAACTGTAAGGCTACGACTACGGATCCATTTTGGTTCATCGTTGTTGGGCTTTTGGTCTCCCTTTGCACATTCTTTTCTTTGGCTTGTTTAGAAACGTTTGCGGATGATGAATCGCTTCATTTGTTAAGTTTGTCGGGCTGTGACACCTCGTTCACGTCACGCTATCTCATAATAATAACTCACGATACTCTAAACAATGAGATAAGAGGCCATAGTTTTCATTTAGAAAGTAATCCGTCGCTATTCTGAGAACTCATTTACACTTCCTTTAATGTGTGCGAGGCTCATTGGCTCAGCGCTGAATACTCCGGGACAAGACCCGACTCTTCAGGGGAGGAAATCCAACCGGTTGATAAACCGGTTGCAATGAGTCCTGGGGGGGGAGGACAGAGCCGGGCGGTGAGGTGGAGGGCCTTCCTGAGTGGAAACCACTGGGTCCATTTGAAGCCGATCTGTCTGCAGATAGCGGGGGATAAAGACATGGAGCCCCGCGTTGATGGCTGTCACAAAGCAACGTAACCAGACAAGTAAAGAAGCTCGGCGCGGGCTAACGCCTGGAGAGGGTTGCACAGCGTTTCCCGCTGCTGCTCAGTGTGTGTGTGTGTGTGTGTGTGTGCGCGTGGTGCAGGTGAGCTTTAGCCCTCAGGGACAGCAATTTTTAGTTGATTCTGCTGCCTCTTTAACAAGGATCCGCTAGGATCCGCTAAGGGCCACCGGGGGTCACTATGCGGCGGTCAGGGCCGTTCGGACTCAAATCAGCCCTTTTCCTCGTCTGTTCTTTGGCCTTCATTGCATCTCAAACACTGACCTCCAGGGAAAAGTTTGAAAAGCATCTGCAGATTAATTCCTCACCCGTTATTACAGTTATTACCCACAAAGGTTAGAGGCAGGCGGAGAGGTGAGTCATCTGGACTGTGAGAGAGCCTGGAGGCCCGACTGAGTGAGACTCATCTCTCCCTTGTTCAGGGGAAGGAGTAACTTTTCTCCTCCCCCGTTGGAAGGAGACTTTGAGACTCCCGTCGTCTTCACTAGCTGTATATTTCCAAGTCATGCGGTCTCCTAAATCTCGGTCCCTTCCATTTGCTCCAACCGCGACATTGTCAGGGAACCACAAATTATGAGCCATGTTTTCACTGTTTGTTTCGTTCTGTGCCACCGATCGTTACCACGGAAACGTGGTCCTCAGCTCTGAGCCTTTCGGGGGGGGGGGGGGGGGGGTTAGGGTGAAGAAATGTTTACCTTTTTGTCAAACTCTAAAATCAACTTAAAGACTAAACGCCCAAACCCCAGCTTTAGATACCGCCAGGCAGGTGCGCTGCACCTCAGGCGTCCCTCGGTCATTTATTCCCCCCCCTCCTGAGAGAGAGCCCCCCCCCCCCCCCCTCCACTTCTTCTCTTTTCTTTCAGATGTATACTTTGAAGTTTCTCGCTGAACAAACACTAAACGCTCTCTTGCTGGAGACGACGCGACGGGAAACAAGCCTCCGCGAGAGTGGAGCTCTAGAGGTGAGACTGTTCAAACCAAAGCCACAGACACACGTGGGGGCACTTGTTAACCTTACCTGGGAATTTAACAGGACTGTGTGGAAAGTATTGACGTTCCATGCAGATAACCAACATTTTAGCGGATCACAAGCAGACATAACCCGTGAATTTGCCGATTAGGAAGTTCCCCTCCAGTAAGATGTTTCCCAATAATGGATACACACGATGACGAGTCGGCACTTTGTCTCTTGTCTGTTACTTGTTCGTTAGTGCACTTTATGCTTAATATTTTTCTTTTTAACTTTTTAACATTTAAATTTTTTTAACTTTATTCCCTTGTTTTATACTAACCCATAGCCATAAATTCCTTGTATGTTTGACATATTTTGGCTAATAAATGTTTCCTGATTCCTGATCCTGAGAGAGCGCTCTGCTGAATGCATCACATGGTTACAATGCAATCAGATGGGAATACTCTACCAAAACTGACATGACAGCAAGGTTTTACATTTGGAAATTGTGCAAAAATTCAAGAGCCATAAGTTGTATAAGTTGTTTTGGTGTGAACTTGACAGACAGCTGTTATGAGGAAGTAGCGTTTGCACAAGATAAGCGCTGCTGTCCACCGAGGAGCCACGTCTGCTCCGTAATCCATAGATCTGAATGGGAGTGAATTCCTTTTTATATGCAGTTTATCGAAGCCTTTGTTCCAGGGTCTCTGATGTATTTGACTCAGCGGCTTCCTATCCTGGTGTGACCCAGCTTTGATGAGAAGTTAGACGATGAGCCAATAATTAAATATGAATTCCTGCCTCCCGTGATTTAAGTGGGAGTCTCGGTCTCTTTGCAGTTCATTTGGTCTCTTTGTCTATTTGCTGCTGTTTTTCATGTTTTTTCCAGTGGTTTTGGTGTCTGTTATCTTTTACTGTGGTACACGGGGTCATGGGGGGGGGTACCTGGTAGGCCCATTCAGCAAACAGGTGCCTGTTCACATTTTTTAGGAGTATTTGCTTTCTTTTCTTTTTCTCTGCGGCTCAATGTGAGCTTCCTGTTCTGTGCAGCCTTTTCCTGCAGAGGTGCAAATTAGCCATCAGGGTGTGATTGGTCTCCATGGCAACAGTCACCAGGTCTCTGTCTGTCACTGATGTGCAGCGAGGTGAGGAGGAAAGTTGCTTTTGAAACACTGAGGAATTTAAGACATCAAACAATACATTGTGGAATGTCTGTATTTAGACTGCCTTCACTTATATAAAGAGGCGAAACAATACTATCAAAATAATGCTGATATGAAAAACACAACGTTGTGTGCTTACACCCGTAAATGGGGGCAGGTGTATAAACACATCATTACATTACATTACATTATGAATCATGACATCATAAATCATGACAGACAAAAAAGTAAAAAATATAACAAAATACTATATACAACAAACAGTCAAATGTACCTATTTAAATCACATGTTGGACTACTGCTTAGAAATTGAAGAAGTGAAATATCCATCCTTTAAGAGCACACTCAGAATTCTATAATATATCTGATTTGCATACAGACCTATTTGGCTTATTTGCCACTGTGAATGCATTACTTTCTCAAAGCACGTTTGGAAATGCATGAAACATGTGTGAGAACCTTTGGTTTGGGGCTGTTCTCCATGGTTCGGACTCTGTGGTGTCACAACATTTAGACCACAAGACTTAATGCTTCAGCGTACAGTGATGCTTCCAATGTTGAGGCATGCAAATCATACAGCACTAAAGGTTGTAGTGAGTTACAAAAACAACGTGCTATGTGTGCATGAGACATCACGCAAGTTATTAGGAAACCATTCAATAACATTTCCTGCTGTGTCTGTCACAAAAAGCTGCCAGGACACAATTTATTTTTCTCCAACAAAGTACCACAAAGAAATCCCAGAACTCTGGATGTTATAAAAGCAGAACGAAGCCACAAAGTCACAAAGACTCCAGTCCACCTTAAAATACACAACTGCAGAATGTTCATTCACATTTCCTGAAAACGCCCAGCGTACAAAGAGAGAGAGAGAGGGAGAGAGAGAGAGACTCCGAATAATAATAATAATAATAATAATAATAATACAGCTTCCTTGTTTATCGAAGGAAGGCGGGTGGGTGGAACTTCGGGTGAATTCTGCGCCAAACGTTTTTAAAATTTCCCACCCCCCCACCACACACTTCATCCAAAACCTGACGAGTTTCTATTTGCACGACCGCGTGGAGCTCCCCCTCAACGCACCACCGACCCAAGGTCAGCCGCGGTGTCCGCCCACGGGAACTCAAACCTCCGCAGACCCCGGGCAGGCTTCCTCCTGCTGCGCCCTTCTCCTTCCTCCCGACATGGCAGTTTGACTCACCGGGTGAAATAATAGCCAAGTGACCGAGCACACGGACTCCCCGCACCCGCTCGCCTCTGCACACGGAGGAAGAAACGAACCGCCGCGGAGGGGATTAGCCGAACGAGCGTCTGCCCCGAATGTCAAGTTTTGCGATCGTTGAAAAAAACAAGTGACACCATGTTGGGAAACCCGGGGTCTTACGCCAATAAGAAGAGGAAGAAGCCTGTTCTCAAACAGTAAGACTTTTCCGTGAAAAATGTCGCTTTTGCTGTCATTCTTTTTGCGTCTTTGGCCGTAGTTTGTAAAGCTATAACAGCACGTTACGTTTTCTTTGAAGTCACAGGTGAAGGTAGGTACGTGAACGCACCACGCAGACCGCCTAACGTTAACTTCCAGTTTAATGTTAGCTAGTTAAGATAGCTAACATTGGTTAGTAAAGTGCTGTTAACTATGTCAGATATAACCGTTGGCCGTATGTAAATTGTAAGCGTGGGCGTTATAACAGTTGGCTGTATGTAACGTAAGTTGTAAGCCAAGGTTTCCCTACCATTACACCCCCCCCCCCCCCCCCTTGAAAAACATTATGTTTCTCCACCCACGGCAGTTCCGCCACGACACGTGCGCGAATATGTCTGTGTATGGCACCCGCACCCGCGGACAACTACCTCTCCCTCTTCCCGTTGTCCGAATCGTTGGCTGTATATAGTTAGAGCTATTGGTTCTATGTAACTTAGTTATAACTGTTGGCTCTGGTTATAAGAGGTGGCTGTTTGTAGCTATAACTGTTGGCTGTATGTTAGCTATAACCGTTGGCCCAATGTAAATGTTAGCGTTGGCTGTATATAGTTAGAACCATTGGTTCTGTGTAATTATAACCATTGTCTGTATGTAACGTAAGTTATAACCGTTGGCAGGTATGTAGTCATAGCGTTGGCTGTATGTAATGTTAGTTATAACAGTTTGCCGTATGTAGCGTAAGTTATAACAGTTGGCTGTATGTAGTCATAGCGTTGGCTGTATGTAGCGTAAGTTATCACAGTTTGCTGTATGTAGCGTAAGTTATAACAGTTGGCTGTATGTAACGTAAGTTATAACAGTTTGCTGTATGTAGCGTAAGTTAGAATCGTTAGCTGTATGTAGCGTAAGTTATAACCGTTGGCTGTATGTAGCGTAAGTTATAACCGTTGGCTGTATGTAACGTAAGTTATAACAGTTGGCTGTATGTAGTCATAGCGTTGTCTGTATGTAGCGTAAGTTATAACAGTTGGCTGTATGTAGCGTAAGTTATAACCGTTAGCTGTATGTAACGTAAGTTATAACAGTGGTGCTGTATGTAGCGTAAGTTATAACAGTTGGCTGTATGTAGCGAAAGTTATAACAGTTGGCTGTATGTAGTCATAGCTTTTTCAGTATGATAGCGTAAGTTAGGACAGTTGGCTGTATGTACTCATGGCGTTGGCTGTATGTAACGTAAGTTATAACAGTTGGCTGTATGTAGTCATAGAGTTGTCTGTATGATAGCGTAAGGTATAACAGTTGGCTGTATGTAGTCACATAGTTGTCTGTATGTAGCGTAAGTTATAACAGTTCGCTTTATGTAGTCATAGCGTCGTCTATATGATAGCGTAATTTATAACAGTTGGCTGTATTTGGTTAGGTGGTTACACCCGTTGGCTGTATGTGGTTAGGTGGTTACACCCGTTGGCTGTATGTGGTTATAATAAAATGCGTGTGTGTGAGGAGAAGTACATTTGACCAGCTTCTATTTGGTAAATTCGTGGTCGGACATTTTTTCAGAAATGCGTGTAAGTCCAGGTAAGGTGAAACGTGTCCTTGTGTAAACCTTCATCGATGTACCGACTACACTCAACTCTGCGGAAAGAAGAGAGCATGCGGACAACCAGTGACCCGCTCGGGTTTGGTTCCGGTGGTTAACTGCTCTGCGTGTTTATTTGAGTTTTCTGGACTCGACTTTCCGCGGACCACCTTAAGAATGCGTCCACGCTGCCCTGGCACATTAATCACAATCAAGTTGGAGACTTGGGCCTCTGCTCTCACGCGATGCTCCGGGGAGGGGGGAAGAGGGGGGTGGTTTGTTATTGTAATCTGATAGGGCTGTGTGTGTGTCTGTGTGTGTGTCTGTGTGTGTGAGTGTGTGTGTTTCTGTGTGTGTGTGTGTGTCTGTGTGCATGTGCTGTACTGCCTGTTTTTCTCCTTTTTTTTAACCCTTTTGCTTCTTAACAAAAAGATCTATGAAGAGCTATAAAGAGGTGTTACGTTACAAATACAAGTTAGTTTGTTCTCAGATGAAAGTTAAAGCGTTATTGATGCATTAAAGCACAAGCAGTCACTTTTTAATACTTCACCATGTCCGGGTGTAGATGGACAACTATAGTACAGTACAGTATTTCGTTTTAAACAAATACAAACTCAGCAGTCTACTTTTTGTTGTGTGAAATGTCCCAAAATAGAGGGGAAAAAAATCTTATATTCTAAGGGACAAATAAATCTGTTGAAATCCACCATATGAAAAGTAAATTATTTTTTCCAAGAGTTATGCCAATTTTCTGTCAACTAAAGGCATGTTTTTTTGTACACCAGAGGCCTTGCCCTCCGTCCCAATTGAGTTGAATTATTAAACTGACGGACATCTGTCATTATAAAGGGATTACCAATAGATAGCAAAATACATCCAAGTAAAGGTTTGTTTACATAAGTAATATTTTACTTTTAGAATGTTGAACAGTACCGTAACATGTTATTGTTCTTATTTGCTTGATTTATCCACTTTATTTTATTTTTCGTTTGTGAAAACAAACAAAGTTAAAAGACTGGATTGCTGGAATATTGATTAGAATTAGGGCTGTCAACATAAACGCGTTAATCCTGTTTGAAAGCGTCCTGCTGAATGTGGGGAGATTGTTGAGAGTTGAGAGCAAAGTGCAAAGAACAACAGGAACAGTCACTAGTTCTATTAAAAGCCGTGAATAAAATCGATCATATTGTTAAACACAGAAGTGGCATACGGACACGTGTGATCCTTCTCGGGTACAGGCCGTTCCCAGTGTGCAGACGTCTGCGTTTATCAGAAGACGTGGGGCTGTGCAGCAATGACTGAGGTTTCTTGGACTGCCAGCTGGGCTCAGCTGCACAAAGGCTCCATTGAGCCTGACCGTAAGAAGCCTGTGGCAACTACTCTGGGGCATTCCACGGTAGATCTGCCCATCCAAAAGTCTCCCTTTTTATTACCGCTCCGTCTTCGGCGTATGCTTCCAGTTTAGCTGACCAGCAGCGCTTACACTAACTTTGAAAAGTGTTTTCCAGGCTGGCGACTGGGCAACAGCTTTTCCTCCAAAAAGCCATTTTCTAGTTGCCTTATAGTTTTAGTAGTGCAGATTTAATGCAGTTGTATATCAGCTTGATAGTGAAACTTTTTTTCTTCATACATACATGTCATGAGTTGCCAATCTCTCCAAACACAGACGCCTGTGTGCACGCAAGTAAACACAACAACGCACGCGCTGCGTTTCTCCGGTTCTGATCGTACCAGCAACATTTAAACATCTATTTGGTGGCGGTTGTCACTCATGGAAACTGACGGCTAAGAATTGGGTGCCAATTTTTGAAGTTGGTAGCCAGTTGGTCCTCCTCTCAGCCGCGTCGAGCGTTGTTCTGGCGTTGTTCAGCTTGCTGGGGAAGTATGAGTTAATTATAGTGTACACACCCCCGCCCAGAGTACACAGTGGTAATGTGTATTTAACACTGAGAGAGTGTATATAAATTATATGCTTGTGACTAAGCATTTATTTTAGAAAACAATACTGTCTTTAATAAGACTGGATATTTTTCTCCCGCGGTGCGAATGTGCTTTTTACAGTAAACTAAAGGGATTGTGAGAAACACACACTAACCAACGCACACACACACACAGGCAGACATGCCGATAAGAGGTTTGGCTCAACACCAAAACACAGAAACAAAGTTGGCCTTTGTTCTTTGTCTGGTTTTCAAACAGGTGACTTTCCTAACTGTTGGATGGAATGGCTCTGGTGGTACAGCCAGTGGGCCATTGACAGAAGCACCAGAGGTTCGATTCTCGGCTTTTCCCACATGTTGATGTGCCTCAACGGAACCCACTGTAGTCCTGATGTGTGTAAGCGTAGAGGAAAAAAACGTTCAAGAGTTTCTGCCAAATGAATGTAATCTAAACAATGGCTCATGCTGGAAACGTGTTCTTATTTTTCCAGACACAAATGCGATCGCAGCAGCATCCCTAAAAATCCCCACTTTGTATGCGTGACAATAGGAAGCACGCTTCCCTCCTCTCCCCATTGGACAAAAGAGCCAACTCCTTCCCAGAGTGCTTTGCTCTGGCCAAACCAGTTCCAGCCCAAAAGTGTTTTGGTGCAAACCCGACATGCAGCCCGTCGGTTTCTGAGTTGGCTCTTAGGAGATTGTGGCTCGCTCCCTCCCAGAGAAACATCCATAGAAACGTCTGCATCCAATTTGTATCCATATTTTTTTTCAAGTAACAGAAAATCTAAAGTTTGATATTGTTAAATAGAACCTTTGCCTCATTGTACCCCTCCAATGATCTTCGTTTTTGTACGTTTCCACAGATCACATGTTATTTGTTTTCACCCGATTCTGTTTTTTTCACCTCTCTGTCTGGAAAGATCCTCGTAGGCCAAGGCCCGCCGCTATTGTAAACTATCCTCCCTGCAGATTGGAAGTTTGTGTTTTTGCAGCAGCCAAATGTGTGCGGAAAGCAAGGCACGCTTTTCCTTCTTCTGAGCCGCTGAGTCATGCCTCTGGATCGGCCAGACGCTCCGCCTGCTTTCAGCAGACAAATGTGTGTCAGTGTCTTTAACACGAGCCGCCTCCGCTCCGAGGTCACTGAGGTCAGACCTCCACTCTTTCCCTCTCGAGATAAGGAAACCAAATAGAAGCTTGGGCAATGAGGTCAAACATCGGCTTTCCCTACAATGAGCGCCTTGATGTCGGCCGCTCAGCCCCGCGATCCATAGCAAATGAAGGTGGAGTTGGGGGGAGCGGAGGGGTTCTGAATGCTGCCTTTTGTCTCCGCTAGGCATTTCTTGAGAGTGAGATCAGCCCGGCTCCATTTCTGAGAAGGTATAGCTGAGGTCTGAAGCCAGCAATCGAGTTCAGGCTACAGTCCCCACAGACAATTCGGTGGCAGAGGAGGACATTTTATAGCCTATCATAAGCCAAGTTTTGGTAAAGGGGACCTTTTGGAGGAGTTTTGGTAGGTGCTGAGACGGCAGATAAGCTTCTCAGGATGATTTAAGAGCTGGAACCAACGTCTGATAATGATCACTGATTGGTTCCTGTTGATAAATCTTTACTGGAAAAAACTCCTGACGTCTGAAAGAGCTTCACGACTACAAGTTATGAAACCTCAGGTTTTTTCCCCAAACGGGCGCGTCCACTATGGGGGTGGTAGTTCTGGTCTATTCCCAACTAATTTGAGACACTGGCAACCTGTGAGTGGCCTTATTTTTTTACATTGGAACAATTATGCCTTTAATGTAATTATAAAGGATATCTAGTAGGGGTGTAGCGATTCATTTTAACTTCGATTCGAATCGCGATTCATGGTTGCTAATTCGACCCAGTAACTTGAAATCGATTCAGTAACTTTACTGGACAGTGCAGGCAAAGTTTCTGAGATCCCTGTTGTTTCCTGTAAGGAAATCAGGTTTAAATAAATTATGGATATTATAGACAAGCAAACAACAATTAATGGCAAATGTAATAACCTTTTATTTGAATCAAGTGCCATTTTCAATGTAAACATTACACAATAATTACACAATGTTTGGATCAATTCACAGACACCACATCGTAGGGTCGCATGTCTTTACAGATAAACTTGTTACTGTGATGTTGAGTTTGGTGCTGGCGAGGCCTGAGGCGTCTGCAGAGCTGAGTTACCTGCTGCTGCTGCAGCGGTGACGCTGCTAGAGGTCCTGACTGTCGGCGTTGTTTAATCCCACGGCGCCTTAGTAGACGGCCGGAAAGATTCGTCGTGTTTCCCTGTTTTTTTTATTTGGCTTCTACATATTCTACAAACAGCGACCGACTTATTTAGAACACATCCGTGTTTGCAAAAGCCGAAATGTTTCCACACGCTGGATCGATAAGGTAGTTTGTAAATGTCTCGCTCGCAGTCGTCTCCTCCACGCGGTGTTTTGTTGCGTACTGATGACGTCACAGACAGGCAGACTGAATCCAGTATCGATTTGTAATCGATATATGTCGTCCGGAATGCCGATTTGCGGAGCATAGATCGATTCAGTTGGATCGCAAGAATATAAATCGATTAATCGATTCAGTGAATGAATCGTTACACCCCTAATATCTAGTAAATGTCTTATTTCTATGCAGTCGGGTGTGAGAACATGTACTTTACAGCGAGCTGCATAAAGGCAATTCGATCAATGATCATTTTCTCAAATGTTTTTTCTCAAACACAAAATATCAAGTTCCACAACTTTCTGTGCATCCACACAGATCTCACTAAGCTCAGCCGTCTCTGGGAGGAATGCCGTGATCGGCCGTCTACGCGGCGTGCATGTATGTGATTGGACACGCTGTTCGCTGGGAGGGAACATTAACATTACCAACATTAATTGACTAAGTTGGTAGCTGTTGTTGCCGTTGTCATTTTACGGTCAGACTAAACCTTTATCCTGAGTTACGGCAGCTTCGCCGCTGCAGAGACGTTACGCTTTCACACCTCAACCACTGAAGTAAATAAATGCAGAAATAATAATATATTATTATTTTTATTATTTATTCGACATTATTATTATAAATAACAAAATGATGGAAATGAAGTCGCGAGCGACACATTTTGAGTTGAGTTGCTCATGTTTTTCTGGCAGTAATGAGCTTCCATACCAAGGGAAGTGTTTCTCCAGCCTGTGTGGCGGAGGGATGGCGTCTCCACAGCAACCTTTACTGCAGCACGTGTGTTTGTTAGCAAAGACACGCATGCAAGCGTTAAGTGGCCGCAAAAGTAAAAGTTAAGCGGAGCAAATAAAACTGCCGGCCTGACGTGGTTTTGTCAGACGACACGTGTCGCCAATGGGACCACTTGTTTTTATATTCCGTATTTTCTATTTTGATTTGTGTCATTTACTCTGAGCTGAAGATGAGATGAGTTAGAAACAAACCTGCGCTGTGTTGTTAAGTGAAAGCGGTAGATGTTATTGTGTCATGCTTAATAGGAACTTGGGGTGGCTTTAGATATAAATATCCCCATGATGATATTATGCTGTGTGACATTGCCGGTTTCCACCTGTTCTGAGGTGGAGAGTCAAGCTAACGTGAAGAAATGAAACGGGATACTTTTGTTTTGTCCGAGCTGAATTAGCCTCCGGAATGATGAGGATTGTGACGTGCGATCTGCAACTAAGCACCTGATTTGATTTGGGAGCCGATGTCCTGTTGACTCACCTGTTCCTCAGCGTGTATTAGTCACAATCACGGCCCGCTTTCCATAAGCTGTCTGCTGAGAGTCAAAATGGCTCACGTCTGATCGGGCATGTGTCACAGCAGCTGGGCCGGTTAACCGCAACTCCATCCTCCTTCAACAACCGGCCATGTGTTCCTCTCCTTTCTCCACAGAAAAAAGGTTTCGGACGGCAATGACGTCGTCAAATCGAACCCGTCAAAGCGCCACCGCGATCGTCTGAATGGCGAGCTGGACCGGCTCACTGACCTCCTGCCCTTCCTGGGGGACGTTCGCTCCCGCCTGGACAAGCTGTCGGTGCTGCGCCTGAGCGTGGGTTACCTGCGGGTCAAAGGCTACTTCAAAGGTGAGGATGCTGCAAGCTGCAAGCGACTTCTAGAGGGACGCATGTAGACGCTCGCGGCCGAGGCAGGAATGTGAAGCGTGCAGGAATCTGGTTTTAGGAAACAACTCATCCTCAACACTCACTCCACCCTCTGTTAGCAACACTTTACAATCCTCACTGTACAATCCTCTTTTGTTTGCCTTTAACTCCACAATATACCTTCATTAAACGTGTCGACACACTGGCTTCGAGTGGTGAGTCAATTATATGTGAGTCACCCATCTAATATTTCCTCCACCCGCAGTTGATAGTCCTCTCTGATTTAAACAGACGCCTCGGCCCTGGTGTTGGCAGACGCGTTGCTGAGTAACTGATATCTATGTCTAGAAAGTATCACTTTTTTTCATAGTTTCTCTGCGACCCCCCTATTTAATGGTGGGGGAAACACTGGTGTGCGTCTTGAATCATGTCAGTGTCCTGATCCCTGGTTAGAAGCTGCTGCAGCGTTACTTCACACCTTAAAGGCGTCGGGTACAGACACCTACAGAAGTAGGGGACTAAATGTATTACGTTATTATGATATATTCACCATTAGACATCTTGGTACTGTTTATTTTCCTTTTTCATGAACCTGCTCTATTTAGCGAAGATATTGTCTCTCTAGGAATCTTTTGGGTCAACCTGTTGTTCCATGCGATGTTGACCCAGTGCAGCAATCCACATAACAAAAGGAAAAACAGTGTGCAGTGTGAACACTGGCTATGGACGGGCTGTCAGAGGAGACGGGACATTCCAGCGCTGCTTGTTCTCACAACCTCTTGCCTACTTGTTTTTGCTCATTTCAGGTAGTAGTAAACTATGCTCAAGTGCATTTACAACTTGACATTTACACATTCTGTGAATGTGATTCTCTCCACCAGCTTTGAATTCCTGCCATATCAGCAGGGCAGTAACTACTGGAGATGGTGTATAGCTCAAAAATAGTTGGGATTTCTACAGTTACATCGATCCCAGTGCATTTTATTAAGTCAGTCAGCGTCTAAAGACCTAGTTTGACGTGCAATGCAGGCTCACCAGGGTTTTCATCCACTTCATTAATCAACGACAGACAGACAGCACATGTTGGGTACTAGTGAAGTTGTGTCAAACTCCTATCAATCACCCTGGTCCAGATGTTTTGATGATGCGTAAACTCAAAAACAGCCTCTTTTTCACACGTACATCTGCGTCGACAAACGAGGACCTTTGCGTGAGAATATGTGCTCCTCGTGCATATTTCAGAACATGCAGGCATGTGATGAGTGATTTATATGTGAATCAAATATCTTTGATTCTGGTGGGTGCGTGTTGCAGTTTACACCCCGATCAATTCACACGTTGCTGTGTGCGAGAGAAAGAAGTGTGTGGCGCTTTATGAACATTTCTCTGGTTTTATGCATCCGATCCTGTTATTTCAAAAGCCAAGTTCTCCTCTCCGGATATTGCGTCCTTAACCGACCCCAGAATTTAACCACCACAGCCATTTTTCTAAGACTGCCTTCCTGTTCCACCCGCAGCGCTCTGCAGAGGTCAACCAAAAACAACCATTGAACACAGAAATGAAACAACCTTGCAAAAGGATTGACTCCCCAACCCAAACGTGTGTGTTTGTGTTGGTAACCGTGAACAGTCGAAGGTGTGTGTGCTGATTTAGAAGTCTGCTTCAATCAGGCTCGCTGAAAAGACGGTCCTTGACCCGTCGCGATGGAGGGCCGGATCACAATGACATGTGGCATCAAACGGCCCACGTGTCCCCCATCAGGCCCGTAAATACTGCTGCTTTGCCACCGCACAAGATCAGCAGGTAATAAGAAATCAGAATCATCATCTCCGGCATGTTTGCATTGACCAGCTTAAAGAGGGTCTTGTGGTCACGGACGACACCCAACAGTGTCGTCTGACAAGTCTATTAAAAGATGTGAGCTTCAACAGGACGCTGCAGTCAGCAGCAGGAACATGGAGTTAAACAGCTGTTTCCAAACAGGGAAATGTCACATCCAGTGTTCTTAAGTTCTGACCCACTTTAAAGAGCTGCTGCTTTAGTTCTTACCATCTGTGTCATGTGAAAACCAATGGAACACAGCTCTGTTTGCATTATGATTGATGGGTACATGAAGGCTGCCTCACTGACAATGATGTGGGTCCCCCCCACCCCCCCAAATCGTGCTCTTTCAGTCAAATGTCGGTCTACATTTACTGAATTGAATATTAAGTTCAGTAAAGTAATAATATTCCTGGTGGGTCCCATGGGGACACAGGAAGGGGAGGGACTTGACCCCATTGTCCCTGATATCCGATCCGGCCTTGGGAAAGTTAGACAGACCGAGTCCATGTGTGGGTGAGAGGAGAAGTAAGGAAAGAAAATTCAGCATGTAAATAAGTAGTTAGTGCAATTGTGCATAGTTATATGGTTTAGCAGTAAATTGCAGCCAGCAAACTCCACTGTGAACCAGAGTCTCTACTTGACATCGATCTCAGATTAGCCGCCGTAGTCGTCCTGTAAGAATAGATTGGTCGCCTCAAGAGGCATCGCGGTCTGGAGGGAAATAGAACAGCGCCTTAGTGCTTTCACAGACGTCACTTACAGTGCGTGTGTGGGAGCCTCGAAAGAAAAGGTGCCGTTGATCATGACGGAGGATATTAGGTTGCAGTATTGTGTAGGTGTACGTTTTTTGTTTGTGTGCTTTCAGTGAAGTCATGCAGCGGCTCTGATACCATGTTTATTCCAACCGGGGTGTTGATGTCTCGTACACGCGATCACAGTTTCTTAAGAAATCACCCTTGCTGTGAGATTTGTGGGACTTTATTGACACACATTTGGTGTTATTACTCTTCTGTAAATAAGCTTGAAAGACCTTTTAGGTTTTTAGAAGAATTCCTTTTTTTTGCGTCTCAGGCTGCATGTGTCCCTGCTGTCAGTGAAGTTTAATGAAATTCAAGAATCCAAAGAGTGCGTTGAGGACAGGCAGCGGTGCAGACAGCCAGAAACAGGTGCCGTGATATGATGCATCAGTTGTTCCATAATAAAGTGGATTTTATCTCACAGGAAGTTCCCTGTAACCGAGTTAGGCTCTCTGCATATTTCCAAGTGAGTGTTTGTGAATTGTTTTTGATGCAAAAACTGTGTGAAAACATATAGAGGGACGAAAACAGCCTTAACCTAGAACCAGACCAGAGTCTGAGGGCTCAAGCTTCACAAAGCCGCATGCACGAGAGCAGGTCGTAGCAGAGACTTGTGCACGCCGCTGTTGCTGCTCCAGCTGCAGCGCTAACAGACACAGAGACGGTTCACTCGCAGTCTTCAAAGTTGAAAAAACAAAAATGTTCGTGTTTGCCCTCCTCCTGCAAGTAACGGCCCCAGAATGCGAGTAGATCACATCTGTATTGAGTCAAGTTTCCCAGGCAAAGATAACACTTGAACACACGATAGCGTCAATGCTCTCCTCGGCCTTATTGTCCCTGAATAGAGCTTGAATCTCCATGTAACTCAATGCCATTTGCATGCATTAGCTAGTAGCTGCCTTGTTTAGTCACCAGGACTGTGCTGCCTACTGGCTGCTAACAGCTACCATTAATTAGCTGGTCTCGTGCCGATTTCAACACTGATTTGAATTTTTAAATGCTTTATTATCCTGGAAAAAATAAGGTGCATGAGAGCGTTTCAACGCAGGTGTGTAGTAGTTTGCACGTGCTCAGTAGCGATCGGTTAGGCTGTGCGGATCACAGGCAGTGAGTGACGCATGTTAGTGTTTGTGTGTAGCTCAAGTGAGCCGGTGCATGATTAGTTGATATCCGACTGGTGGATTGACTTGCATAATTGTATGAAGTATGTGAGGTACTTTTGACTAGTATCGCGAGAGGAACGACTAATTAAAGTGTGTGTGTGTTCTTGTAGCAACAGAAAATACACGTATGAATCTGAACATGAATCTGAAAATGAGGATGAAACTCTACTCCAGTTTCAGTTGTATGATGTTGGACCAGATGAACGTCTCCAACTGTATTCCCAAACGCAGATAATCTAAACCAGCGGTTCCCAAACTCAAGAATGCCGCGGCCCAATTTGAAATCTGAAAAACCTTTTGCGGCCCACCCAAACCTTTAATCACAACTCTGATCAAAACATAAACTAGGGATGATTAAATGACCATAAGAATTTAACCGAATAAAAATGTATAAACCGACAATGTATGTTTTGTGTACCATTTTCTCCGGAGCTCATATATATTTACTTTAATACTACAAGAGGGCCCATTTGACATTTTGTTTGCCGGCGCCTTTTGTTGAATGACGACAGGCGGACAAGAGCAGCCGTTTCGCTTTGGATAAAAGCGTCTGCTAAATGACCTGTAATGTAATGTAACGTTTTGAGCGAGAGCCTTATTGTTTTATTAATCTGTTCATTTAAATTGTTTGTGCTTCATCAATTAATGTTTCACATAACTAATGTGCCGCTTGAATTGTTCAAATAATACTGTGAAAAATATGTGCGTTTTGTATCTTATCAATTATCATTCGTAATTTAAATCATAAATATTTATATATTAATTTCAAACATTTCAAAATTGAAAATTAAAAACATTTGATTTATTTATTGTGAATCACCTCTCGCGGCCCACCTGCAGTACCCACTGGTGGGCCGCGGCCCACACTTTGGGAATCGCTGGTCTAAACAATATCACCAAGATTGCCTCTCTGGGGTTCTGCCAGTGAAACCCAAGCCTGGGATGGCTCTTCAAGTGGGGACATGCCTACAAGTTAAGATAGTGATCTCATAAATCGGCTTCAGAGAAAAGAACAAACATAAGCAATTTCAGGGTATACGAGTGTGATTTAAAGACCCCGTAGTGAAACAAGCTATATATGTCTACCTTAAATGGCCGATCTTCTTTTCCTTTTTTGAAGAAAGCCGTCCCGTTGGGCCTCATAGCGTGACTTCACGAGGCAGCGCTGGAGACTTTGAAAGGCTTGTGGCTCGCTGCTGCTGAAAAATGTGTATTTGCTCTCCAAGTTCCATTGAAAACATCCAAGGCCTGTTAGCAATCACAGTTGATGTGGTAACCCTGTGTCATGTGCTGTAATTTCATGTAATTTGGTATTGGGGATATCTGAACCACGTAGGCACAAAGCCATGCAGGGGGGGACACAACACAGGACAATATTTGTATCTATTTGTCTTGTTTGTTATTGAGTCCCGGTGTGTTTTTCCTGATGCATGCGCTTCAAATCTCTGCATATTTCAACTCGGTATGCTAACGTATGAGAGGAGGACGTCTCGCTGGGACGACTGAAGTCGCCTGTTGGCTCCCGATTCCCGACTCGCCTTTCAGTATATCGTGAGAATGCGAGCAACCGCTGGGAGACAGATTTAATCATGTTTTCATTTTTTTCCTCCAATTTCCATTCTCTGGAAAGTTTGTTCTCCGTCTCTCCAGCTCTGCAAACCACAGAGCTGCATCTCTTCTTCTCTCTTCTCCTTTGCTGGTTTGGCTGTTGGCCCGGAGCCGAGTTCGCCCACCAAGGCTCTCTGTGACATTTAGAGTCTTCCAAAAACGCTTGGGTTTGTTTATTTGCCGAAACAAAGTCAGCTGTCTTCCGCAGAGTTCAGTTGGGAAATCAGGAACACGGGAGATGCCTTATTTTATTTTATTTTAGGCCCTCGATCACAATCAGGGTTTGGAAGGAGTTTGGTAATATAAATATTTTCATCCAGGAGTGCAAATGAGCTTTTAGTGTTTATTGTAATTTGCATTTCCACAGCTTTAACTTTATAGAACTCGCTATGTTTTGGTGTTTTGAGGTAAATTTGGTGTTTTACTACCTTAAAACGTTGCCTTGAATGCGTCCTCCCTTCAGAGACCGCCTGCACTCCGATAAGAATCACTTCAACGATGCGATATGTGAGGCGCGCCTGAGGTTAGCTTTGGTTTCTCTTGTGTGCCCAGTCCTAAAAACGATGGCATTGCTTTTCAAGGCAATAACAGGAGCCTGGACGGCCGTGAAACAGCTGTCGATCCAAAGAACAGATGCAACTAACAGCTAAAGAAACTGTGTCCTGGATGGAACGGACAGCAACAAAGAGGTTTTAACGTTAGACGTTACCGACGTGATCGAGGCCCCCCGGGGCAGCAACAGGCTTCTCCAGTCTCACGCCTGAGCTTCATTCACATTGATCTGTTAGTTAAAACACCATCATTAACTAACAGCATGCAGAGAATATGCACAATTCAAGCTGACTGTCAGTTATGTTTTTCTTCTTTTAATTTGACGTGGCGTCGATGTCATCTGTATCTGCGTGATCTTTGGAATGAATCCAAAGTGACAGAAGGCAGACAGGCCTTCAGCTGGCGGTTAGCTGTAGCATCATCCATGCCGGGTTTGTGCCAGCTGAATGCTGGTCACTACAGCTTGCCGCTAACTGTAAGTTCAAAGGGGTCTGATGGAGGACGAAACAGACGTGTTCACCACTTTGGAGTCAATCCAACAGAAAAAACGTTTAAAACTCGCATGTACGTTCAATGTGATCGTCTCTACTTCCTCTTCCTATAGAGATAAGAGTGCTATCACCAGACAGGACGGGCAGCTAGCTGGTTAGCATGCGCAGTACATGTCAACCCCGTCAGCTGTTGTGATAATGATAGTTAATTATGACATTAAAGTCTGGCCTGACTTTACACATTTCAACTTTTAAGATACACCCCGCAATATTTCAAAAACCCATTTTTATTAAATGTATTCCAAGCTATAATAAGCTTGAGCAAAAATCCGTTATCCACCCAAAGCTGCTCTTTCCTTCCTTTCCTTGACATTCTTGTCTGATCATTAAAAGGCTGAGGCTGTTTCCTTCCCCTGAAGTCATTGTTGTAAACAGGCACATTAATCAAAAGGCTAATGGGAGGTTAAACCCGCCGATGTGACCCGGCTCATTGGCTCTTATTTGTCACAAGCGCCGCCCTTTCCTGCACATCCGCGTGAGAGAACAGCGATCTCTGTACACGATCTGCTGGAACTAAATGTTTTCAAGTCAAGATAATATTCCCCTATGCGTTGCCGGCATACTTTATACTCTCTCTGAAGCTGGCAGACGTCCAGCCTGTGACAACATTTCCCTTTTCTCTCCACGGCTCCAACAGTGTCCCAACTCCACAACACATGCTAACACTTACAGGTAGACCCTGTGTACATGCTTCTTAGAGCAAATTAGGCTTTTACTCGCCATTAATATATGAATTCATCTAGTTAGGTCTTAGATTTTGTGCTTCGGGCTTGGCCGTCACTACTTCGCGCTCCGACTGGAGTAGTCGGACTAGATGGCGTTTAGAAAAGCTCCTCCTCGTCTCCTCACAGTTCTTTGGACTTCTCTTAATTACCCAGCGATGAAAAGGCCGCCTCTCTGCCTGAGTGACGGGGATGTTTGCCTGCAGAGCATCTTGCATCAAAGGCGTGCTCTGCACTTAGCCAGTCCTATAATGGCGTCTCTCTGAAACAGGAAGCTGCAGTTTCTTAGTGTCACTTGTCGCGTCATTGTCTATCGTCGTGGATGGCCGTAGTTTCATGCCTGCAGGTTTTCCCCTGGTTCCTGTGTGTTTTTGGCGTTTTGACTAATAAAGTCTTTTGTTTTCCTGAGAGGTCTGCGTTTGAGTCCTGCCACCCCTCCACGCATCCCTGACATGCCTTCCACTGACTTCCAGTAAGTCTTTCCCACTTCTGCTCAAGCTCTGGCCGAGTATCATTAAGGCGACTCTTTATGCTCCTAAACACCATCAGATAATTTAAACATAACATTTTAGAAAACCTGTAATACAAAAAGGATTGTTTTATTGTAAATAATCAACTGGGGAACAATTGACAGTATTTCCTGATTTATGGCAATAAAAAGAGAATCAAATTCCCTCTGTAAAAACCTTTTGAACTTTATATGTGAACATAATGAAAGATCATCTTTGCTCCTAGCGTCATCGAATTTTCTGATTTCTACCCTGGAAATGTACGAAAATGAGCACATATATGGCAGTGCATAGTGAATGTATATTTAAGTATAAGGTCTTAAACAGTCACTTGCAGCTGCCTAGAGAACTGTAAGTGCACATGAACAACTACTCTGCAATAGAGTCCATAAAGTCTTACTCACGCAATCATTGATTAGAAAGAACAATTTCCCTGTGAATGATTGACTGAAACACTAATATGCTGTTTGTTTGGGTGTGTGTGTGTGTGTGTGTGTGTGTGTGTGTGCCAGCATGGTGTGAGTCCCCGCTGAGGGGTGGGCTGTGTGTTGTGTTGTCGTCCCCCCCTTAAAAGAGGGTGCGTGACAGGACGGGACTGACGGGTCGGCAGAGGCCGTATCCTTGGATCTTCCTGTAGTGGCGCTCCGGATAAGGGAAGCACTCTTGTCGGATATCGCTTACCCAAAAAGAACCACCCCAGGGGCAGATGCACTGTGTTTGTGTACATGTGCAGGCTGCCAGATCAGTTCTGCAGCAATGACAAACTCTGTCTTCAGGCTTAAGTCCAGCTTTTCTTCTTTTGCTGCTCCAACATGAGTGGTGATTCCTCACATGTACCATCGAGGTTCTTGTGGTTCTACTGAAGCCTGCAGCCACAGATGACTTACATTTGTATATTGTTTGCATTGTATCCAGGCGCAAGGCACGTCCTACCATACACATGCAAAAAGGATTCCCGCGTCAACATCTCTCCGAACAATAGCAGGACTCTTGTGTTCTTGTTGAGGAGCATTTTTTAACATGACCCGACACGGTGCGGCGGCCCACAGAACAATGACGAGCAGCTGCCAGGATGAAGCAGTTGTTGTACTTGGTGCAGGACGCCTGGTGCGTGATGCAACTCATCTCCCCTTTGTAGAAACAACCGAGTCAATGGCAGGTTTTTCGGAATCCCTCACGTGGACACGGTCAAGTTCTGCTGCCCCATGGAGCTCTGAGATGTCAGGTGGAGGTGGGGATCACTGGTAGAGCCACATGTGTGGTTGGTGGGGGTGGAGGGTGAGATCTGTGGCCTCATTGTGTGCTTCGTGTCCATCTGAGCCTCAAACATCTATCAAATAATGCTCTTTGATCTCCATCCTGATCCATTGGACACTTTCTGTCTCCGTTTTGTCTCCTTTCTCTGCAGCGACTATGAGCACGAGCAGCAGTGCCATGTTCTCCGGAGTGTCCAACGGGGACGGCACGGACACCACTGGCTTCTCCGAGGGGGAACTACTGCTCCAGGTGAGACACGAGGCCAAGATCTCCTTCCCTTTACTTCTTCCATCGCTGCATTTTACGATTGGAGGATCCTGCTGTAACCCACACGCTCCGACAATCCACCTCACACATCCCAACAGGCAAAGATCACAACACACAGTACGAAAAGAGTGTTGACACACCTTTAAACCGTTGCATTGAAAGCTGCTGCTGCACTCAAGAGGAAGAAAGTCCCACGGCCTGATTGATAAGCCAAACGTCGCAGGTGCACAAATGGCGAGTCAGCCTTTTGTTTGTTTGGTCGCTGCCGGCGTTGTGTGGAGCTAATCCAGGTCTATCCGCGCCGGAGGAGGTTTTGACAGGTCGTCTTGGGGCCTCATGCCAGAGCTCGGCCACGCTCTTTGGCTCCCAACAAAACCGGCACTTTGTCAGGGCGCCTGCGCCTCGTGTATTGACGCTCGCCTGTCAGCTACATTGTCTCTCTCTGTTGTTCCGCGTGGCCACAACGGGCAGTGATTGGGACGCACAAAGGGCCTTCTGACGTTCAGCAGCTGGTGGCTTTGTTTTTGGATTACCAAGCGGCAGCAGGTTTTCAGATTTGGATTGAAAACATATACATCTACATAAATATTCATTTTATAATATTCATATTTTTATATTTGTTCTTTTATTTTTGACTGTTTCAAAAAACAGGCGAAAGTCGAATGATGAAAGTGCTCTGATGGTTTTATGTGCAGTTCTTTGAATTGCCTTGTTGTTGAAATGTGCTACACAAATAAAGTCTGTGTTGCCTTCCAGGCGTTGAACGGGTTTGTGATGGTGGTCACGTCAGACGGTTTGGTGTTCTACGTCTCCTCCACCGTCAAGGACTACCTGGGCTTCCATCAGGTGACTTTTAGTGTTATCAGAGAGGGCCGGTTTGAGCCACGCCAACCAGCCCTCTAAGGCTGCTGCTGTTGTTGTTGTTGTGATGTGTGACCCACCTGCGTCTTCTCCCCAGTCGGATGTGGTTCATCAGAGCGTGTTCGAGCTCATCCACACCGATGACCGGGCGCTGTTCAGGCAGCAGCTTCACTTCGCTCTGAACCCCCCGTCTGCTGCCGCAGGCGGAGACGGTACGTTCCCTCCGCGCTCTCAGCGTTGGTGCCTGTGGCCGTGTTTTAATCTCCACCCGTTGTGTTCTCAGCGCCGCGGAGCGCCGGCAGCGCGGTGGTGTACAGCCCCGAGCAGCTTCCCCCGGAGAACTCGTCCTTCCTGGAGAGGAGCTTCGTGTGTCGCTTCCGCTGCCTCCTGGACAACTCCTCCGGCTTCCTGGTGGGTCCAATGTTTTTAGATTGTTGTCAAAACTCACCTCATAAACATTTAGCTCATGATCCATTTCAGGAATCCAACACAATGAGCTGCTTTGTCCCGTCAACCTACAAATACGATTTGAAATGCAGTTTGATTGTACTGTCGTTCCACAGCGATCGCAGTTAGCGTCCATGTGTGGTGTAACTGCTGATATTCTTCCACCCAAACCAGGCTCTGAAGTTCCAGGGGCGACTGAAGTACCTCCACGGCCAGAAGGTTTCCAACGGCAACGGGATCAAACCTCAGCTGGCGCTCTTCAGCATCGCCGTGCCCGTCCAGCCTCCGACCATCGTGGAGATCCGAGCCAAAATGCTCCTGTTTCAGACCAAGCACACGCTGGACTTCACTCCCCTGGGGGTCGACAGCAGGTGCTCCAAGCGCCTCCGCTCCTCTTTCATGGAGTCGTTTATTTTCAAAACCTACACGAAATATCATGATTTTACATTAACGTGGCAGGACGCTTTTTTTTTTTTTAGCTAATTCCAGTTTTAGCACACTTGATGTTGTTCATCTTTTTCATCCAGGGGGAAGATCATTCTGGGATATTCAGAGATGGAACTGTGTATGAAAGGCTCCGGCTACCAGTTCATCCACGCAGCCGACATGATGCACTGCGCCGACAACCACCTCCGCAGTACGTTGGCTATTTGGATTTGATTGACATTACATTTTATTCTGTTCATCTGATGTCATTTTTGTTGTTATTTTCTTCAACGACAAAGTAAACATGTGCCTGTGAACAATATGGATCAAAGCTTGGTGGCTGTGTTTTTGTTGCCATGTATTGCTGCTCTAGTGGAAAGTTCTTTGTTTCGCAGTGATTAAAACAGGAGAGAGCGGCCTGACGGTGTTCAGGCTCCTGACTAAGTCGGGCGGCTGGGTGTGGGTGAAGTCCAACGCCAAGCTGATCTTCAAAGGAGGAAGACCTGAATTCATCATCGCATATCAGAGAGCTTTAGTGTGAGTGTTTGATCCTCGATGCGTGGCTGCACAGCCACAGCAGGTGCAAAGCAGAATGCGGGTTTCCTCACATGTGCCGCCTGGTGGAAAGGCAGCAGAAACCAGAGCCAGGCGGCGATCACGAGGCCCTCGGACCTTTCGCCAGTAATGTAACGTGCCCGCTTTGGTCTCTTCTCAGCAACGCGGAGGGCGAGGAGTTTCTGCGTCAAAGGAGGCTGCAGCTTCCCTTCAGCTTCACCACGGGGGAGGGCGTCCTCTACAACACCGGCCCCGCGGTGGACGTCGCGCACTTCCAGTTCAACAACATGTTCACGGACGTGAGCGAGATGAAGAAGGACGTGACCCCCGGCTCGCTGCTGGACTGCTTCCTGAGTCAGGATCAGACGCTCTACACGCAGACGCCGGACACCCCTCTGCCCGTGGATCAGGTGTTCATGGACAGCGAGGCGCTGGTCACCATGGGCACCAGCAACCTGGTCGTCGTGAAGGAGGAGGCCAAGCAGTCGGCGATGGCTGTGCTCGACAACCTGGAAAAAATGTTGGAAGAGGGCGACTTCTGCAGCACGTTGCAGAATCTGGACGTCAGCGACGTGCAGCTGATGGAGTGGGAGAATGTCCTCAAGAGATGCGGTCAGGATGGAGATCAGCAGAGCGCCGTCAAGTCCGAGCTGGACAGCGTCCTCACCGACGACATCTTCGACTTCATCGATACCGTTGTGTTCAAGGACCAACACAATGGTCTCCAGGACAGCTCTCCCAGCAGCAGTCAGCAGAACCCCTTCACGCAGGCCGGGCTCAGAGAGCCTCGGCTGTTTGAGGCGCCGAGCGCCGATCGGATTTACTCCCCAACGAATGGTCTCTGCGCTCGCCAGCAGGAGGCGATGAACGGCCCGCCGCTGGCAGAGTCCGCTCAGATGTTCACCCAGAAGCTCTCCCACCTCCACCCCGACCTGCCTGCTGCGCAGCAGCTGCAGCTCCAGGACATCTTCAGCCCGTCCATAGAGCTCCCGGAGCTCACCGTGCCAGACTCCCTGGCCTCCCCTCCATCCTGTGGGCGGGCCCCCGCTGGCCACGTGGGATGCCCTCAGACCCAGTCCGCCCGTCCTCTGCGGTGTCCTCCTGCGATGGCACCGAGCCGACAACTGCTGCAGGGCTCCGCCCGGCAGCCCAGCGGCGCTGCGCCCGCGGTCATGGACATGGTGCCCCACCTGATTCCTTGCGATGCCTTCGATTCCATCAGCGCACCTGACATTCGCAGCCCCTTTGTCGCGGCGCGTCCGCGAGGAAGCCCCTCGTTCGAACCCCACGGCCAGCAGGTCCGTCAGTGCCCGCAGAGCCGGCAGCAGGCGGCGCCTCCTCAAGTCGGCATCGTGCACAACGGACAGAATCCCGAGAAGCAAGCGCGCCTGTGGCCCGGCGCCGCGGCGGGACTCACCCACGCCCAGCAGGGGGCGCTGGCGTGCGGCCAGGCGGCCGCTCACAGCAGCTGCATGTTCGACCAGCACTTTTCCACCGGCCCGGCGGGAGGCGACGTCCTGGCTGCGTCCGGTTCTTTGGGCCCGAGGGGGGGCGAGGCGTCCGTGGATCTGAGTCCTCCTCAAGGGTCCTGCTACTACCAGTGGAGCCGCGGTGCGCCCGTGGTGGGCACGTCCCCCATCAGCCAGCAGCAGGCCGGCATCGGCCCGCCCAACGTGGGGCCCATTCAGCGCTACCGGGTAAGCCTCATTCAGATCCTTCATTCATTCAAACTACACATGATTTAAAACTTCAACTAGCTGGTTTTGCTCTGTAAATATCTACTTGACTAATTGTTTCACCACTAATTGATTATAATAACGTAGAGATGAGGGGATATTTTTGAAAGTTCTTAAATATCAAGTTATCAAGTTCTGTCAACCCAAATAGAGTCACATTGTCTTGTTCCGTGTGCTGCATGGAGCCCCGATTCACAACCATTGACTCGATTGACCGTTGATTCATTTTAAATCTGTTAAAACGACGACGCCAGAAGCCCCCTCCGACCTTTGTGCCGTCCGCTTTCTCTGCAGGACGACCGAGTCTCTGCTGAACTCACCGGCATGTTTGCCCCCCCTGCCCGGAACGTAGCCATGTACCCGACGGAGTAGAGTCAAGCCACGTTCATATTTGTGCCACAACAAGTCCCGGAGAAGGACAAAAGTCAGTATAGCCGGCCTGTATCAGCGCTTCACAGACTCTCATGCTTACTCTCATTGTCCTGATGTTTTATATCGCTCTGTATCATTTATACTCTGTCCAGTCTGTAATGTTTAAAAGCTGTGCTCGTCAGTTAGTGAGTGAAGATACACTATAGTAATAATGAAGTATAAGGCCACAAGTGCGTTTACCAGGACGGAGCTTGAGCCAGCGAGGACGGGACAAGTGAATCCAAGCAGCCAAAGAAATAGGTTTTTATAAGGGAAACCGGCAGTCGCGTCATTTTCAGGCGGGGACGTTCATTCGTGTCCCAATTGTGGACACCGAAAATAGAGACAGCGGAACAGTTTTCTTAACTGTATTTTTTATATGATGATTTTAAACTCTGACAACGACCTTTCCAAAAGATGTCGTCGTCATCTTTGTAAAAAAGAAACAGTGACAACAAATCACTCAAAGTGATTTCTACCTGAAAGCACAGCTGTAACGTCAATGTGATATAATTACAGGTTACGTAATCTGTATATTTTAAATGAAATGTGGTCGATATAAGTACCATCGAAGCGTTCTTTATACCAAAAGGCTTTGCTCGCAGTGAGGACCCCCCCCTCTGACGTTCCTAAGCTGCCTGGGCAGCAGGTTTTGGGGTTTGTCAGTTTTTTAGAAACCGAAAATAAGCGTAGGTGCAGTTGAGTCCATCTTATTATATTCAGCTATGGAACTAACCGTAAACTGGAAGTGCCATGGCGCCGAGCCTTAAGAAATCACAGACCCCCCCACTGTAACATGCACTTATCTCCAGAGACCTAAATGATCTCCAGTTGTTTCCACGTCCGGCAAAACCTGGAGGTGGTTTTAGGAAAAGCTTGGCTCTTAAGTCGCCGCGTCGTTGCATCGGACAACGCCTCAGAAAGATGAACCAATGATGCCTTCAGGTGCTGCTCAGTCAAAACAGCGTCACATCAAACGGAATGCTAAAACTCCAGTAGGTAACAGGCAACAGGTGAACCCCTCCCCCCAGGTACCAACGTCCTCCGGAGGTCTGCACTTCTGAATGGACTTCTGATCCTCCGGAATAGGAACACGCTAAAACGTTTATTCACCCCAACATGAGCTGATATGAAAACATGAGCATTCACTTTTCCTTGTGCCTTTATTTCTGCAGCTGGCAGCTTAGAACGTATCTTCTTGTCAATGTATCCGTGCCTTGTTGTATATGGAAATCCTCTTTGTGAGGCCATCCTGTGGAGCTGCTCTGACATAAGGGAAGCCGTAGGAGATGCAGTATGTGAAGGTTTTATCCCTAAGTGTATTTCAAGGCCCTTAAACTAAACGTCCAATGGGAACAAGGGAACCCGTCTCTGTGGAGATGGGAGGACGTGTCCCATTGATGAGGGGACTGGTCCAGCAATGCATTCTGCTCACATTCACCTGCTTCTGCTCTTCGGCGTGGCTCCGTCACATCTGCTCTTCATTCCAGATGTTTGTTTCTCCCACACTACAAGCAGTGGTTTGGGTTGAACCTGAGTGGGGAAGCATGGCAGCTTTATCGTAGTCCAGCTGTATTGTGGGAAATCACTCAGTATTCAACCTTCTCCGGAGAAATCTGGTTGTTTTGGGAAATAGCTTTGGGTAAAATCCCTCAAATCTTCAAGAGAATTCTAAAGTCTGGGAGGACAGATGTACTACGCCCCCCCCCCCCCCCCGCCCTGACTGAGGATCTCAGTCCACGGAGCCTTTCAGCAAGCCAGCAAACAAATGCCTTTGGTGATGAACACAGACACGTGATGCCTGTAGCCACTACGAAAGGAAACGCAGGAGCCAGATGTTTTATTCCCAGCTGTGTCGTAACGCTAACATGTGCCTTGCCATATTCCTGTTTTTTTTGTAAAAGAAAAACAAGTGCATAATCCACTTATATTTAGCCAAGTAGTTATAGTATCTATATCATAATATATGTTGAACAAATAACCAGCCTTTGTTTACTGTTGAATGCTTTTTCATATATACGTGTGCAATGATTACAACTGTCTGGCTCATTTGTTTATAAAAATCAATGTTTAAGAGCATCTTTGGTGTTTTCTTTCTTCTTTTTATCACTTTGTATGAGTCCATATGCACACACATACAAACATCCTGACATTAACCTACTGGGACCACGAGCCCACTCAACAATGGCATCAAAATCATTTAATCAAGTTACCAAAGAAATCATTAAAAGTACGAATTAAGATCAAATATTAGATCAAATGTGGGAAGAAGGGAGAGGAAGCACACAGCTCAGCACTGGTGACAAAGTATCTGAGCTGTTTTTCTATTTTAAGGAGTGATGGGTTCGTCCACCAGAGGGCGACCGCAGGTTCAATTCAGCAGGGAAATCTCTTTTAAGGTATTTTATTTGAAGTGTATTTCATTAGAATTCAGCTGTGTGTTGTTTTGAATTGCAAAAATCATATTTTTTGATTTTGCACATCCTTTTTATCTTTTTTTTCTATGTACAGTATTTCAATAGCTTCAGACGTTACTTTTCTGCAGACACTCGAAGGCGTTATAACTCGTACTCAGCGGCATCGGCACATGACAACGTTTCTTATGGGGCTTTTTTTCCTAGACAAATGAAGAGCAAAAACCATATTTTGGTGGTTTTATTGAGTCTTCATGTCGTTTGCTTTTGTCTCTGAGGAAGATGTAATAATGCTGCTTTTTACGGCCCAAACTAACCAACGTTTTTTGTTTGTACTTTATTTAAAGCTGTTAAATACATTTCAGCTGAGGACAAACCACATACAGTTTGTTTTCCGTTCCAGATGCACATTTTAAATGCTACATGTACAACTCCTTGACTACTAAAGGACATGTAATATAATGCTGTGTGACTTGATGTCCCACTTCCCTTTGACTGCATGTCCCTGCGATGGGGTTAAGGCTTGAGTTGTTTGTACGGCCTTTTTGCTTTAATGATAACACTAATTAGCTAAGTTGCTAATCCCGGTATCAGTGAAGCCAATACTGACCAGCAGGGGGCGACAAAAACAAGTCTTAAGCAGAGGATTGTTTAGAATTCTATGATGAAATTACCCTACTTCTCTCTTAATTAGTACCACATCACCTGTGCGCTCCAACAAAGCAACAACATTGCGAAAGCCATAATCCAAGATGGCGTCAGACGCCCAAACTCGAGGCTTGAAAACGTCGCCATGGCAACGTGGAGACTGTGATTACAGCGGGGCTGCAGGGAACCGGCGGCGTTGGGTCCGTCGACCCGTCGGGTTCAACGTGTGGTACCTTCTGCTCTGTCTCTCTGACTATGAGTTCCACCAACCACCTTTTGGGGTGAAGCTTCACACCTGCAGGAGACTCGTCTTCGTCTCCTGCGTACGACGTGGACGTCCCAGTGCACGGCTCCCCTCGTCGGACTTCCTCTCGGGCCCGCGGCTCGAGAAACACATTTACGGCTGTGGTGGCGCCTCCCCCCCCCCACCCAGCATGAAGGGCGACGGCCTCCGGGTTTCTGCAGCCGTGTGTAAGATGCATAAACACCAATCATCAATAATCAATCAATCAGTCATCAAGTGCCTCGCCGGATGTGGTCGTGTGCCGATGGCGGAGAGCTCGCGTCCACAACTCACAGGCACTCACATGATTGTCGCCGTACCACTTCCTCTGTTTGCTAAAAAGACGAACATATTTAGTTTTTAAAGGAGCCGCAAATGTTTTTTCAATGCTTCTTGAGCAACAAAGTCAGAAATAAAAGTGAATGGAAGATAATAAGTAGAGGCCGATACAACACGACCAGCACGCTGGCCTAGTTCCCTTCTACATGTTCTGTTTGGGTCTTGAGCACCCCGGGGAGGGGGGGGTCTCATGTGGTCATGTGACTCAAGGTTTCCATATACACTAGCAGGACAAACTCCACATATCTGTCTCGTCCGCTGTCAAAACCCAATCGTGTTAAAGCTCGGCAGCTGTTTGCTCAGTCTGAGGCGGTAAAAGGTCGTGAGACCCCGAAGCAAATGATCTCAATTATTCACATTTCATTTATTCTGTAAACCCTTCTTTTATTTTCCATATAAAAGTAATTTCCCCTCCCTTCTCTTCCTCTTAAATATGCCCCTAAACAACTTCTACTTTCATTTCTACTTGTAGGTACGACACTCCAGAACCAGTTTACAAAAACACTAGAGGGCCTTTATTATCTCCCTGTACATCCTCGCCTCCTTTGCTCGCCTCCTTTCCTGGCGTCTTTGTTACAGATGACATGTGACCTTTGAACCAGCTGTCCACAGCTTCGTTATGTGGCTGCATTCCACGACTCATTTGGACGACCGTGATGGTTTTCCACACGGGTCTCTACGTCACTCCTCCACCTCCACGTCACTCCTCCACAGCACCCCTCCACCCCCATGCCAATCCTCCACCTCTACGTCACTCCTCCACCTCCACGTCACTCCTCCACGGCACCCCTCCACGCCACTCCTCCATGCCACCCCTCCACGTCACTCCTCCACCTCCACGCCACCCCTCCACATCACTCCTCAACATATACGTCACTCCTCCACCTCCACGTCACTCCTCCACTTTTACATCACTCTTCCACCTGTACGTCACTCCTCCACCTCTATGTCACTCCTCCATCTCCACTCCTCCACCTCCACGTCACTCCTCCACCTCTATGTCACTCCTCCATCTCCACTCCTCCACCTCCACGCCACTCCTCCACCTCTATGTCACTCCTCCATCTCCACGTCACCCCTCCATCTCTACGTCGCTCCTCCACGTCACTCCTCCATCTCCACGTCACGCCTCCATCTCTACGTCGCTCCTCCACCTCTACGTCACTCCTCCACGTCACTCCTCCATCTCCACGTCACTCCTCCACCTCTCTGATGTCATCGGTTCATCTCTCGTTTCCTTCCAGTTGTTACAGTGAAGCTCAGCGTGACTGAATCCGGTGACCTTAACCGCTGCGTAGAAATCACAGTGTGTGATCATATATTTGTATCTGTATAATATATTTTTCAGGTTCTCTTTCGTTGCTACGCAGAGACTTCTCCCAACGTTGCAACGAACTCGGCTACATTATTGAAGAAGTCTGACCCCCGTCCCACATTCTGCTCAACACAAACCTCCAGCTCCCTCGTTCCCCGCGCTGATTGGACGCTGGGACCTGCTCGAGGACGCGCCGGCGTGCTCGCGCCCGGCACGTGTTTCCAGGAGACTCTCCCTCGTGCCCGCGCGTCACCCTCCATGCCCCCGTCCCTCTCCAGCGCCAAACCGTTGCAAATCCGTGTTGGGCGTGCCCGCCAGTGGAATGCGCGCGCCCCTCCCCCGCCCCTCCTTTGCAGCTCATGCCCGGCGCTAATTGTAGTGCAGCACTGGTGTAGATTATAAAATGTAAACACTAACGCGTTCTATGCGTGTATTTGAGGACACTTGTGTCGCGTTTTTAATCTGCGCTTCCTCCACTATGACTCCGTCTTTGTCTCCATGAGGAGGGAAACCCAACAGCGTCTTTCTGGGACAACTTCATCCTCCCGCGAGCCCGATGGGACAACAACGCTTTACTCATTTTTGATTTGATTTTTTAAGCGGGTCGCATGCTGCTCAAACTCGTGTTTTTTTTTTTTTGCTGCACATTTTGATTTAACTCCGAAGTGCAGCGGCCCGTGAAAAAAACAAAACCAAGTCCTTTTCTGTCCAAGTCACCGCGTTTGGCTTTTTTGACGTTTCTTTCTGAAAGGAAGAATGCGTTGCGGTGTCGATCTGGGGGATTAGCGCAGAATATTCCATGTAGCGCAGAAAGCGGCTGCGCGCGTTTCTGGGATCCATCGCAGGCTTATATAAGCAGAGCCGTCATGTATGCAGGACGCAAGCGGAGAAAACCCGTCCAGAGAGCGTGAGTCCCTTTATTCCGTTCTGACTTCACATGCCGGTTAAATGCAGTAAAACAGCGGGTATTAAATGGTACAAATTGGGCGGAAGGCGGACGTCGAATCCCTAAATGCGCAAACCCGCCGCGAGCCGCGCTTCTTTATTCCATTTAGAAAATACTGCATATTTAGTTTGCTCCTAAATAAATGTGAAATCCGCTCCTGCTACGGGAGACGTGTCCACGTGTCCTTACGGGATGTCTCTCGATGTCCTGCAGGGAAATAAAGTGTATATTTTCTCTGCTGTGTAAAATGTTCCTTTAATGCCTGCAGATCATTGCAGGCCTGCAACCGCGGCCTGATTAAAACCTCACGCTTCGCTTTCACATGTGTATTTATTAATAGAGCTATTTAAAAAATATATACCCCTGCTAATGAACTAAAAGAGCTTTAATAATACAGCGTTATTATTAAATGAGTCTTTGGTCAAACCGCCTCTGATCCACCGCGACCCGCGAGCGGGTTGTTGCGCCATTTTCTGTCACAATGTCCTTCGGGGGATTAGAGAGGGTCCGTTTAACCTCGTCGGGTTATTTTAATGTATCAGTAATCAGTATCAGTAATAACACGTATTTGTTCCACTTAATATGTTATAAATGGAAACATGAAGAAAAAAAAACCAAGTATGCTCGTGTTTTAATTCTTTACACCACAAACTTATTTTATTATTATTCATCCCAAAACATTTGATCACGTGTTCAGCAGCGACGATCCCCCACGTTAAAGATGCGCGACTCTTCGCTCGTCTAATGAAGCGTTCATTCGTTCGTCCGCGTTCAAACCCCGCGGCCGAAACGCGTCTCGGGATATTAGTCAGAAACCCACGACGGAAAAAACAAAAGAGTTGCACAGAGTTGCAAAATGCCCACAATGCGCCTCTGTGCGTTATGGAAGAGGGTTAAAGGCTTTACGCGGAGCTCCGGTCCGACTGGTGGCTCAGGTCTTCAGAGGGGGGCCAGTGGAGGTGTTGTGGTTCACGGCGAGGCCTTTAACGCGCACACGCACACACACACGCACACGCACTAAGGGTACACGCTAACCGATAACGGTTTGGAGCCTTGAGGATTTTTTCCTCATTGTTCACCGTTTTGCCGACAGGAAAATCATTGCTGTTCAATTTTTTATTTTTTGAGTATTCAAATCACGGTTAAATTAATTCATCCATAAAATCCATTAAAAAAAATAACATGACAAGTAAAGCCGATGTGAGACAGACTTTGAAATCCACGAATCGATCAGTTAATAAGCATTTAGAGGACATGATTTACTAATGACCATAAAACTACATGTCAGCGCGCAGGCCGAGCTGGGAAAGTATCACAAGATATTTTGTATTCTGTATAAACGCATAATAAAGCAGCATGAGCAGATCTCCATGTGTGTAGCGGTTGTAAAAAAAAGAGGAAAAAACAACAATTAATTCTAGCTTGTTAAACTTTTACCACTTAAATGCTTCCTTACATTTGTAAACATTAAGCAATAAAATCAATAAAGTGTGTGGTTCACTGTAGCCCTGCATAAGGCATACGCATCTATTTTGCTCTTTATTGTGTGTACACATTTATTTTTCTATGTTGAAGGAAGACAAAACAAAATAAGAATTTCATTCTACAGAATAATTATATTTGACTGTAAACATGACAATAAATATCTTACATCTTAACACCAACAAAAGAGAAACAAAACAATGTTTGAACAATTTGTCTTTTATGAGGTCAAAATTGTGATTTGGCCCTTATTCTCTTATGTATCATCCCTTAATAATAATATATTTTATGTTAGACTGCTATTAACCGAACCATTGTAACTTTCACAGTGGAACTTATGGAACGCTTATTCTTTTTTATTCCAGTATTTGTGCTGCTGCAACACCCGCCTGGAACTATAATTGACAGCGAGGCTCCTGACTGTTATTAATATTTTAAACCACCGGTCAAAATGTTTCACTATTACGTTTTTGTTGCATGGGTTGTGTTTAAACATACAATTCCAACAGATGGTTGGAATATTTTAGGGTTAGTAGTTTAATTATATGTTCTATATGGTCCACATATCCATCCTAAAACACTTCGACTTCGAATGATCAAACGTTTGTTGTTGAGTTTCAGCAGGAGATTCTCCAGTTTTCGTTTTCTTTGTGATATCAGCTCAAACTAAATGAATATTTTGGCATTAGTACAAGAGCCGTAGAATCTGAGAGTCTGCTCCATCTGCCTCCTTGTATTGCTGCTTTTTTCCAACTTTCCACAGTGCCCGAAGAAAAACAACCAATCAGAGCCGAGCAGTCTCTCAAACAGCCAATCAGAGCCGAGCAGTCGCTCAGGAATCAGGAAACATTTATTGCCATAATGTGTCAGACGAACAAGGAATTTGACTTGGCGGTTGGTGCGTAACAGCAGACAGTACGACAACGGACGACAAGACAACAGTGCACGAGGAATACGTTTTAGTTTGAAAATAAAGGAATAAAAGTTAAAGTTAAAAATATTTAGAAATAAAAAATAAAGTGCACCAGCGAACAGACAGCCAATCACGGCAGTTAATCGGTGCCGAGCAGTCACTTAAACAGCCAATCAGGGCCAAGTAGTCTCTCAAGCAGCCAATCAGGGCGGAGCAGAATCTCAAACAGCCAATCACTGCCCGGTAACTCTGATCGAACTGGGAAATAACTGGGAATGATGGTCAAACCCAGAAATGAGTCAGCATTTTTTTTTTTGCCTATAGTCATTTACTTATTTCCGCCATGACTAAACTAAACTAAATTGTTTTGTTGCCTAAACTACAGGACTGTTTTAGAACGTCAAGGTGTAATTGAGTGCTTGGGAAACAACTTTTGAAGAAAGAAGAAGCGCCCCGTTCTGGATCGTTTTCCTCTTGTCTGGTGTTTACCGTGACCTCGTCTCTCCAGGGTGAAGCATGCGCCGGCCGACGGGGCCAAGTCCAACCCGTCCAAGCGGCACCGGGACCGGCTGAACGGGGAGCTGGAGCGGCTGGCCAGCCTGCTGCCGTTTCCCGAGGAGGTCACCGCCAGCCTGGACAAACTGTCCATCCTCCGCCTGAGTGTCAGCTTCCTGCGGGCCAAGAACTTCTTCTCAGGTGACTTTTCTGGACCTCTCCTGCCCTGCGCGCATGTGTCCCTTCATGTCATCCATCACGGCAGATCGGTTTGGATCTTTGGCCAATCACACAAAGATGTTTCTAATTATCGGGACAGTTTTTGTGAAATCCTTTTGTGCGCCATGAAGATCAATCTGAAATGAATGAGCTAGCTTAGCACAAATACTGAGAGCGTGTAGCATCTATTCGTCGCGTGCCTCGAGCGAACGGTGAGGGAGCTTCTGCCCGTAAATGGCCTCGTCCGTTGCTCCGGTCCTTCCCGCCATTACGGGAATGTCAAAACGGCCGCGCCGCATTTGTTGGGCCCACGTCTCGCGGCTCATCTCGTCAAACCAGAGAGGAGCGACCAGCCGCCGCCTCGTTGAGATGATTTATTCCCGGAGAAGGGGCCCTTAATATTTCATCAAGGGGCCCGTGTGTGTGTGTGGGGGGCATCGCTGATTCCAGGGTCAGGAGATGGAGCCCTGCACGGCGTCCATTAGCGCCGTACGCTAGGCGCAGGGAGGGAGGGTTGCGCGCCGGCGGTCTCCTCGGCGGCGCAGAGCCACGGCCTTGTTATTTTAGGCGGAGATCCTTGACGGGGAATGCTGCAATGCGGCCGTCGGATGCTCCTGGAGGATGAATAATTGAGAGGAACCGCCGAAGTTTGAATAATTGAGAGCGATGTTTGTTTAAGGCGGCGGCTCGCTGAGACGGACAGAGACGGCCTTCGAGTCCCCGCGGGGGGAGAAACAACGAGCGTGCTTTCCATTTTCACCGTATTTCGGTTATAGTTCTGTTTCACCGCAGCCATCCGATGACTTACGGTCACAGTCGCCCCGTAGCTGTAAATGATTGATTCCAGCGACGACAGGTCGAAGTGCAGCTTACAGACGAGCCCGTTGTCTAACCGCATCAGCCTACTTCCTGGACAGCCTCTAAGTAATCAACACGCTCTGAGCTCTCACATTGAGCAGGAGCTTAAGTCAGCCGCCGTCGGCCTGCTGCTCGGCGGCCCTTAGAGGCCTAGAAGAGGCCTCAGCAAACACCGACGCTCCGAGACGAGCACGGGGGCCCCCGAAGCGAGACCGGCGTCAGCCTGTCGGTTATCGCCGGTGGCGTCTGCAGGTCTGCCACGTCGCCCGTTCCTCCGAACCTGCATCCGTCAGCATCCTGCGAGATCAGAACTTTGGCCGAGAGCTTCCCGCCTCGTCGGCGCTGTTCTGCAATAGAAGGCGGGGCGCGGTGATTCCGGCGGCGTTAGCGTGTCGGGGCTAATCACTGATATGCTTCGTAGCATTACACGCTCGCCGCTCTTTATCCAGTTCACAAGTAGCCGTGAGGCGAGTTGATATTTCATTGAATCCTCTAAATATCCATCACTTGAAAACCAAACATATAGTTGTAGATGTCGTTCATTTGGAGGTTGAACCTTTTATGTTTGGTGAAGTTTTATATTGACATCTACTCTTTAAGTATTTGACCCTCTTCTTTCTGTCAGTCACGTGACTAAACTTGATGATTAAAATGATCCAGAAGTCTCCTTCAGGAGCTCTTGCATCAACTTATTCCAGTCCCCCCAGGATCCTGGTATGACACCTCCTTCACAGACTTCTTTATTAATAAATATGGGGGGAAAATGCTCTTTTTTTTAAGGATGTTGACAGCTTTTGCTGGTTTATGGTGCGATACAAGGAGATAAAGATCCCTCTGCAAAAAACATTCGACGTCAACAACATGAAACAATAATTTTGGACCTTGCTTCATCTAAAAGTCTGATTTCAGTTCTGGAATGTATGAACAGTAGCACATAAAGGAAATACCTCATTTGCATATTAATCCAAATGTTAAAACTCACCTGTGTGGTCTCACCTGAAAGCCGCACTAGTATTTGCATGTATGTGTTTGCATTTGGGTACAGCTCCATATGCATAGTGTCCCTCCTGTCGACAGGGACACACTCTTTATCTCCTCCACTTTCTCTTGGGATATTATTTTTTCACGGGTTCCCAAAAGGCCGCCCGTCATATCTGCTGTAAAAGCTCCGGCTCAGATGCCTTCCACTGATAGAGTTGGCAAACATGGCCGTGCACATCACGGCCCTTACGCAACTCCCGCTGGATCACGACATGAATACAGAAGATGAATTATGCGAATGGCCCGGCTGCTCCTGGCAGAGCGCAGCTGCACATTGACCCAGTGGAACATACACTAACGGCATTTTGTTGGCAAAACAATTAGAGCAGCCGAATCCGTGCGGACCGGCCGAGGTGTTTCGTCTGCAGAACGTGTTGCCGCGGCGATGAAGGGAACCAATGACACGGCTCACACGGCTTGCGAGGGTCCTGTGACTTGTGACCGTACCTCCATCTCTGCTGTGGTCCGAACGAGAGCCGCCATTATGCCATTATGTTATTTGTAAAAGCCCCCCCCCCCCCCCCCCCGCCCCCCTCCTGGAGGTCATGTGCACACAAATGAAAGGCCGAGCTATCTGGGTCACATGATCATCAGCGGGTCATCCCTTCACGACGCCCCCCCCCTCCTCCCTCCGTCCTGCCCCTAGAGGGCTTAACCCCCCATCCCCCACAGCCCCGCTGATCACGGTACGCCGCGGCGAGGAATGCAGGCCACCAAAGGGGGAAACTTGGTGATCAGTAGTGACCCCGCCCCAAATCCTGTTACTCCGCCTCCTCCTCCTCCTCCTCCTCCTCCCGTCTATCTGTGTTCACCCACCATAAGCAAACATGCAACCATGTGACTGAGGAACCTCAGGAGACGCAAACGCAGCACCGGGTGTGTGCTTTCCCCGCCGGCATTAGTGGCCCCGTGTTCATGTGTGTGTGTGTGTGCGTGTGTGCATCCGTGTGTATGTTAGTGGACGTGGGGGCGGTGTGTTTGCATCGCGTGTTCATTTACAGGAGTGTTTTGGGGGGGGGGGGTTACGGAAGTGAAACGTTCTATATTTACTCCCCTGCCATTCACACACGGGAATAATTAACACACACCACGGGAGCGTGCAGCACGCGGCCGAGCGCTCCACTCTGTAACGTGGCGTCGCTTTGTGACGTCGCCGTTGTTGCGTCCCGTTCGTTCTCACTGTTCTCTGAGACCCACTGTGCCGCGTCCGCCAACGTGCTGCAGCATTTCATCTGCTTCCACGATGACGCAATGATAAGGAGCTGATCTTAAAACCACAATAAATAAACTCAACGTGGCCCATCACAACGCTGGAGCGTCGCGGAGTCTGCACAACTACATGGGTCTAAAAATAAGCCGGTGCAGAGAGACGCAGAGGAGAAAGTGTCCCTCGCTGTGCCAACAGCAGCCCTTTGCCGTTAAGTAACTCTGCCGCCCAAATCTGCCCTGTGATGGTTCCAAAAAGCTTCGTCCAGTCTCTTCTGGGCAGCGACGTGTGTGTGTGTGTGTGTTGTCATCGAGGCCACATGGCGCCCTGTCTAGAAAGAGCCCAGCGCGCTTTGTAAGGACGGGCGAAGAATTGAGAAGCTCGAAACATCCCCACTAATCCGCTTGTAAATACCATTATGGGACAAATTGAAAATGGCCAAACATTTAGTAAATATTTGCAGTGGGCTGGATGTTTGTTTGGGGTCTTAGCTGCTAGCAGGGTGAGAGCCCCCTGGGAGATAAAACCCCAGGGGGTCTGAGCCGGAGGCCCCGTGGTGAGGGCGGGGGGGGGGGGGCAGGGACCGGAGCCAAGCCGGGCGCCGGGTCACAGGACGCCATTTACTGTCACCCAAAGAAAACACGTGGAATCTAAAAGGAAAGTCGATTCCTTCCTGGAGGGTTTCTCTTTCATTCCGTGTAAAGTGCAGGACCTCGACCCCCCCAGCTCAGATTCTTGTTGTCAGTGTCTCACAACATTTTGTCTGGACTTTCCCTCCGTGCGTCTGTTCATGCGTGTCTCCACTGAGAAGTTTAATGATTGGACGGAGGAGAGGAGATCTTCTCAAACGGTGTCTCCCCCCCTCTGGGCTAAATAAAACCAGCCATTTTCAGGGTCGCTGCTTGTTTGTCGCTTCTTTAGTTCTTTAGTTGTCGCTTCTCTCAACCGTCTCTGTTTCCTCGTTATTAGGAACTGATACATGAATGGCAACTAAAAGCATTTTGCCAATGAGTCTCAGCCCCAGTTGTCCTTTGTCCCCCCCCCCTTCTCTCTAAAGAGTGGACCCAAGGTGTGTGGGGACGACATCGGTCCACCCAAAGCCGTTCCTTGTGTGAAGGTACGAGCCCCGCCGAAGGCCGCATGCGCCCCCGACACCTCCCCGCCCCTCAGACCCCTCGTTAACCCCCCCAACCTCCCCACTAACAGACAACAAAAGATCTGACCCAGAACCCAGTCACCCGATCATGTGACACATCGGCCTCGGGGGTCGGAGGTCACCGTGGGTCGCGGGCACGGCTGCTGGAGAGGTCGGAGATTAATGTGGCCTCTTTTCTCATGACATCACAGCTCATCGCCTCACGCCGCGACCAGACACTCACGCCGTGATCCTATTGTCAGCGAACGGCCCGAGAACGGGGAGGAGGTCCGATCCGATGAGCGTCTCATAAGCGTTAATGAGAACCAACGAGTGGGAATAACGTCTTCATTCACTCAATGTACCTTGTTGAGATGGACCACGGTGTTCTGAGAGCGCGGTTTGTGGTTTAAGGAAGGTGGAGGACCAGGAGAGGAGAATAAACAATGTGTTTGTTGTAATACAGGTTCCGGCCACTCGGGGTGGAAATGCGCCTCTACCTCTGAAGGTCCTCAAGGAATGTTCTCGTACCAAACGGAACCGACGCGTATTTCCCAACACATACGATTACATTCGCAGCCTTCTTCTGCTCTTTAATTGGCAGAACAATCGTTTTTATTTTGGACTCAGGGATCTGTTCCAAGACACCTGGGTGGGGGCCGTCGTGGGAACGGGACTAGAGGCCAAAGCCTCCACGGGACACCTTTGTAATCGGGGCAGGAGACGCCGCCCCCCCCCCCGTGCACGTGGAGGATTAACACAATCTTGGTGCTTTTCGACATCGATGTGATATTTTCGCATTTCGGTTCAAATCGCAGAAGAAGGCAGAAGGAAAAGCGCCACGATGTCACGCTGGGAAGAAGGAGAATCCCGTTGAGAACAGCTGGGCGCCACCAGGCGAGGGACGGGGCGGGGGGACGGGGGGTAGCTGAGCTATTGGTGCTTGCTTTAGTGTCGCCTAAAGGAACCGTCGCCTCGCTCGCGGTGCTTTTTGTTCCCGCTTCACTTTGTGGGTAAAAGCGACATTTCTCTCACACAGAGATCTCAAATGTTCCGTCCATAGTTCGATTTCGCTTTCTTTTTTACTCCGCGTTCCAATTATTTTTGGCTTTTTCCTCGCTGATGTTTAAAACAATGATGACATGAAAAATCGACATTCTCTTCTGACCCCAATAAAGCTGAAATGAGTCGTTAAGCCGTCGCTTCGCTGCAAACTGGGTCAGCAGAACGCAGAGAGAACACAACTGATGTCATGTTTTATACAAAGAATGACCTTTGCATGAACATTACTCCTGAAAACGATGCATTGATTATTAAGCAAAGCTTTCTGACTTTCCCTTTGTGTGATAAAGTGAAGCTCTGAGCTTCTCAGGAGACCAGAACAACCACCGCGGATTTGTTCTTCTGCTCCGTGTCACGGACGACATGGAGATCATGGCGTTGGACGGAGTAAGAGGTTTGGATTTAAAGGAGACGTTGCGATTGCACGTGGTGAATGTTGCCGCGGTCGGGGGGGGGGCGTCTTCAGCCCACCGAGCGTGAGGCGATCTGACAGCCACAGCAGTGCTTTGCAAACACCATCACAGGAGTAAAAAAGCTGTCTGCCTCTCTCATCCCCCTCCCCCCTCCACCCCCCTCCGCAGTCACCCTGACCGGAGCGACTCCAGCTGCTGTGAGCGATGACGACAGCGAAGCATCAGCGGCGGCGGCCAAGATCCCCGAAGGCGAGCTGCTGCTGCAGGTACGGACGCCACGGCTCTGTTTCCTTCTTCCTTCCTTCTTATTTCGCAGATTCTCAGGTTCACTATCTTCATTTCCCCAACGCGCCGATGCCTTTTAGACTCGTGCGTCCGGGTCTCCGGTGTTCTCTCGTCATTTTGGTTTGCTGTGCCTTTTCATCCTGATGAGTTCAAATCTATTTAGGCCGATGACCGAGGCTCATGGGCTCAGGGCAGCTTACCTCCCGATACGTCTGCCGCTACTAATCTGAAGGGAACTCGTCGCTCAATGAGCCTGAATGTGGATTCATGCAGACACGTGCACATTTTGGGGGGCAGGTGCTCAAACCAAAAGGACGCACATTGCCAAAAGAGGAGGGAGGGGCGGGGCTTGTAGGGGCAGAATTCTCACAATAACTACATAAATAAAACTAATACATGTGTAAACATATTTGGGGGGAATTGATGACAGAGAGAGTCATTTTTATTCTTAAATGTTGATGAATGTAGAAAAAGTGCAGGTGCTTTAGCACCAGTAGGGGTCTACCTGTGCACGTGCCTGCTACCTGTGCAGGTGCCAGGTGTGGTTCCCTTCAGGTGTGGTTCCCTTCAGGTGTGGTTCTCTTCAGGTGTGGTTCCCTTCAGGTGTGGTTCCCTTCAGGTGTGGTTCCCTTCAGGTGTGGTTCTCTTCAGGTGTGGTTCCCTTCAGGTGTGGTTCCCTTCAGGTGTGGTTCCCTTCAGGTGTGCCGTAGACATTTTTAAAGGAATTGTTGGGATGTTTCAGAGCTTGATGGATTAATACAGCAGCTGGTTAGCTTAGCTTAGCTAACTAGCTAGGTGTCTTTGTTGCTCTACACCGATGTCTCCTTACTTCCCTCAATGAGTCCTTAATCTCAGAAACGAGTCTGCAGTTCCTCACGTCTGGTTAGATGTCTGAAATGGGGCGACATGATGCTGTGTGTTTTCCAACACTCCTCCTCTTCCTCCCCATCGGCCGGCGGAGGAGTACGAGGTTTATTTCTGAGGTGTGCGTGGGTTCCTCTGCTCTGCTCAACCGACGTCGGTGAATTATAGACAAGATGCGTGAACACGTCAGTCATTCAGACCCAGAAAATGAAGAAAGGAAGTTTTAACAAATTCAGTTCTTCATTTTCGAAAACAAAACGAATTTGTCATTTTTGATGACAGCTGTCGTAACACTTTTATTTCTATGAATTTACTCTGCAATCTGCCCCATGGCTCCTCTTGTGCTCATGCACTCAGCTGACTCCCCTCATTTGCAGCTGGGAGGTTAATGAGTGCACATCTGGAATATCTGGTATTAGAAGACGCGGCCTCACCGCTGGCGGCTTTGCACGTCGCAGCAGCAGCTTCCACTTTGACTAAATTTGAACCACCATGCCGGGGAAACTGCACGAGACGCTTCAAACTATCAGGGCGACGAAAGCAACCGAAGAAGGGGCGTCCCGAGGAGGCGGGGCTTAGCTCAGCGACCGCTCACGTGACGCGCCCAGCCCTGGTGACACTCGGATGTTTGAGCGTGCCGAATCAGAAGGATAACATCTCCTGCATCAGTGGCCTCGGCACGGCGTGGGCTGATTGAGGAGAGAGACGGTGTGCGCGTGCGTGTGCGTGTGTGCGTGTGCGTGTGCGTGTGTGTGTGTGTGTGTGTAAACAGAGGGAGGCCATGGCTCGTTCAGCGAGGTGGAAACGTTGCACCAGCTGTTCCCTTCTGAGGAGAAACAATCAGTGTGCTCCATTTCACTTAACATGCTCCCTCCTTTTCCTTCCTGGTCTCCTCCTTTCACGTCCTTCCTTCCTTTCCTACTGTGTTTTCTCATGAGATCCGAGCCTTTATTTTACGCTCTGACATCACAAAGCTGCTCTAACCAATGGAGGAACTTTCTATGATGTCCTTGTTTCCTTTTACACAATTGAAAAATTAAAAGGTTAAAGAGGCGACGTTTCGTTTGTCCTCACACGCTGCACGTGTCTTTATTGAACCGTGTAATTTGTAGTTGTTTATGTTTGTATTTGGTCCTTCTGCAAACTGCAGTCCAGAAACCGTGATGAATGCCGATTGATGACTTGCAAACTAAACTCCTCATTGATGATATTTTGTTTGATCAGAGCTCCTAACAAAGTGTTTTCCATTTTCTTCAATGAACGCGTTTGCTAACCGTCTCCCTCCCGGGCTCGGCCCTCAGGCGCTCAACGGTTTCGTCATGGTCCTCACAGCCAGTGGGACCATCTTCTACTCGTCTCACACCATCCAGGACTACTTGGGCTTCCACCAGGTATTCCTCTTTTTCGTTTCTCATCCGTCTGACTTGATGAAGTAGCAGCTTATCATTGGTATTAGTGCAATATCGCCCCTTAAACCACGGCGTGCGTTCGTTAGCTCCTCCTCGTGAGATTCTCGGCTGCTGAACCAGGTGTTCTCAGACAGAGCGAGCCGTCCGGGCTGCAGGCCTCGCGTGCAGCGTCTGCAGGGAGCGGCTCGGGGGTCCTGTTTGACCCGTCGCTCCGCTCTCTGCATGATGTGGAGTCAGAGGCTCACACACCAGCAACAGGGCGCGACCTATTTATGGCGTAGCCTTTAGCGCCAGCCGGCAGGAGGGACGGGGGGGGAGGAAGGGGGGCAGCGCTCACCGGGACAATGTGCCGTGTTTCCAAGAAGTACACCCAGCGGGGGAGAGTTTACCTTTATTCATGAATGCGTTGGTAGAAACAGACCTTGCATATTCGTCCTGCATGTAGCGGCCATATTTGGGCGCGAGCTGACTGTCCCTCTGGTTGCGGCCCCTCAGACCGACGTCATGCACCAGAGTGTGTACGAGCTGGTCCACACGGAGGACCAGCAGGAGCTCAGGAGGAACCTGCACTGGGCTCTGAATCCTCCTCCGGCCGCCGTCACCCAGGACTCCCCCCGAGGTGATGACCCCCCCCCCCCCCCCCCCCCCCCCAGCGACACCCTGGTGGGACTGAGGAATGAATCGTGTGTCACTATTGTCTCTTTGTGGTGTTTTGTACCATTTTGTGTATTCGTTGCTGGTTTTGTCTCTTTTTAGTGCTGTGAGTCCCTCTGAAGTCGCTTTGGGTCTCATTGTGCACCTTCTGCATCTCTTGGTGGGTCCGTGGCTCTTTGGCTGATATTCTATAAATGAAGCCTGGGGGGGGGTTGCAGGTATTGGCTTTATATTCTTAGTTGCATTAGAGCTAAATTACCAACCTCCAGGCGTACAAAGTGCTGCGCCCCTCTCAACATATCACATGTTTCAGTAAACAGATCTTCAGGCATTAAGCCATAAGACCAGGTCCCAGGTCCCAGGTCACATGACTCTGTAATCTTCAGGTGTGGCTTAGGAGGTGAAGGGTCCCAGATCTGCAGAAGGGTATTAAGTGGCTTTCGTCTGCGTGGTTCTTAGACCAGGAAGCACATGTACGGCCTTGCAGCATGAAGTAACACTGCTGCACGTGCACAACTCCTTTTTAAGATTTAGCCTCTGTAACGTGAAACTCTGTGTCATTTCCACGCGAAATTCATCCAAATATAATTTTTGTTGATTGTGTAAAGGCGGACGTGATGTTGGTGTCTTAATTCTTCGACGCGAGTGACGTTATAACGGCAGCGCAGCTCACGTCTGCCCGTCCTCTGTTTGCGAATGCAGAGCCGGAGGCGGACAGCGGCTCCTCCGTGGTCACCTACAGCCCCGAGCAGCTTCCCCCGGAGAACTCGTCCTTCCTGGAGAGGAGCTTCGTGTGCCGCTTCCGCTGCCTCCTGGACAACTCCTCCGGCTTCCTGGTGGGTCCAATGTCCAAAGACCCGAGAGGACGGCGCTCGCACTGCCGCTGTGGGCCGGTCCATTCCACACGCCTATAGGCGTCCTATAGGTTCTAAAAATACTGCTAGAGACAAAAGCCTTTTATCCTTTTAAAGGGTAAGAAGGAAAATGGCTTCAAGTTGAGAGAAGCTAATATGTTAATACGTTATTTTAGCTTGATGAAATGAAAGGTTCGCGTCAACTGGAAATCATGGAAGCTCATGGACTTCACCGAAATACAGACAATATGATGAAGGCTTTTCCTAAAGCGCCACAGGCTCCCAGATATCAGGATGTTTCAGTCGGTTCTCCTCCCGCTCTCCAGGCGTTGAACATCCACGGCCGGCTGAAGTTCCTCCACGGGCAGAAGCAGCGGCAGGAAAACGGGGGGAAGGCCCCGCCCCAGCTCGCCCTCTTCGCCATCGCGACTCCCCTGCAGCCTCCGTCCATCCTGGAGATCCGGACCAAGAACATGATCTTCAGGACCAAACACAAGCTGGACTTCACGCCTTTGGCCTGTGATGCAAAGTAATGCTCGGATCCCCTCACGTCTCGAAACGAGACGCTGCGGCGCCGCAGGAGAAGAACCTGGAGCCGACGTGAGACGATGTGTGAGGTAACGATGCTCCTCTTGGTGTGCAGGGGGAAGATAGTGCTCGGGTACACGGAGGCTGAACTGCGGGTTCGAGGATCGGGGTACCAGTTCATCCACGCGGCGGACATGTTGTACTGCGCCGAGAACCACGTCAGAAGTAAGTGGCTTTTGCGGTTTTTCGGGTGAGCGAGAGGTGAACGCGGGAACTCTCTCCTCAGTTCTTTCGGTAAACCGCCGCATCCTGAGTTACCGCATGAATAAAACCCCTCCAGATTCTCTGTAAATGCAATCCAATGCAAATCCATTGACCGCATTGAAGGTGTGACTATTTCTAAACGTAGTCCTGTTGATGGAAGTTGAGGAGTTCCTCTCCGACGTGGTCACGGAGGTCAGACGGCTTTGGGGAGTAATCCCGCCGGATTACGGCACAGATTGAGCCGAGCTGCCGGGGGGGAGAGGATACAGACGCACAAATCCAAAGATGATCCATACGGCGACGCGCGGACACGTCAGGTTAACAGTGGGGTTTAGTCCAGGGAACGCTGGAACGCGAGGACGGGCCTTTATTATTTAAGTGGTCCAAAGCCGTCGGTTTGTCATATGAAGCCGTAGACGTACATTATTGGATATGTTCCTGGTACCTGTCGGGTCGACTGTGGTCGATGTGAATGAGCATTTATGTCGATATTCATCATTGATCCGCCGGAGTGAAACATCAGCGAGCTTCAACATAAAAATTGTTGTTGTTGTTGTTAACAAACCTTTTCTCTACACTTTGTATCCAAATGGTCTTTTAGTGGCTGAGGAGTCGGCTCGATTCACGCCGGAGCCGCCGATGGCCACATGAACGCGCCGCGTGCTCCCGGCGGGCTCCACACATTCGCTCCCACAGCTCAGTCCTCATAAGTGTGTCTTGCTCCGTTTGCGCAGTGATGAAAACCGGAGAGAGCGGCCTGACGGTGTTCCGGCTCCTCACCAAGGAGAACCTCTGGAAATGGGTGCAGGCCAACGCCAGGCTGGTGTACAAAAACGGCAAACCCGATTACATCATCGCCACCCAGCGGCCCCTCCTGTATGTGCTCTCTGTGACGCGAAAGCTTTGAAATTATGGTCACAAATGTGTTTTTGATCTGAATTTTTCAGGGTTTGGTGTAAACGGGGAAGGTCCCAAATACATAGACAGTAATACCGTCTTCTGCCTTCGCAGGGACGAGGAGGGGGGAGAGCACTTGCGTAAGCGCTCCATGCATCTACCCTTCACCTATGCTACCGGGGAGGCCCTGCTCTACCAGTCCAACCATCCCATCGCCGCCTTTAGAGACGGGAGCCATGAGAAAAACAGCAGTAAGTCAAAGAAGAGCCGGACGGAGAGGCTGGTGAGGGACGGCCTGGACCCCGGCTCTCTTCTCGGGGCGCTCATGAGTCAGGACGAGTCGGTGTACGTTTGCCAGCCCGCCGCCGAGCCCAAAATGTCGTTCCACAGCCTCTTCGGGGAGCAAATGGGCTTCCCAGACTCTGAGCCCGCCGGGGCGCACAGGGGCTGGGACGAGCCCAGCAACGGAGGGCCGGGCGCCGGCCTGGTGGAGCCGGGCGGCAGCTTCGACCCGCTGCTGTCCACTCTGGACGGCCTGTCCCTGGAGGGCCTCGAGGTGGCGGATTCCGGAGAGGCGGGTTGTTCAAACGGCGATCTGTTCGGCGCTCTGGAAGGCCTGGGGCTGAGCGCGGAGGACCTGGAGCTGCTGCTGCTGGACGAGCGGATGATCCGGGTGGAGATGGACCCGGAGCGCGTGCCCACCTTGGACGACCTGCTGACCAACGACGAGATCCTTTCCTACATCTACGACTCCATAGATGGGAAGGCGGAGGCCGCGGAGCAGCGGGGACAGGGGCCCCTCGGCGACGCCTCGGCGACGCTACCCGAAGGCGACGTCTCCTCTGGCGGCGACGCGCAAATGCAGTTTCCTCACCACAAGCTCCCGCTGGCGGCGCACGCTCCCATCCTGCAGCTCTCCCAGCAGATGCAGCAGCACCTCAACGTGCGGCCGGGGAAGGCGGCGCACGCCTGGGACCAGCAGGGCGGCCATTTGGCGAGCACCGCTGTTAACGGAGAGCTGCCGGGGGCGAATTGGTCAGCGGCCAACGGACAGTGGGAAGGCCCGGACGGCCTCGGCGCCGCGGGGTTGCAGCTGGAACACTTCAAAGCGACTGTTTTCCACGGCAAGGCCTCTGAGCTGGAGGAGGGAGAGCTCCATCAAGCGCACCAACGCTGCCTCCAGCAGCAGCAGAGGCGCCACGCGCTACGGCGCCACGCCGACCCGAAGGCCGCCGCCGGCCTCAACGGGAAGTCCCAGTGGCAGGACTACGGATTCTGTCCGGAGAACGGCGTGGAGTACAGCGTGCCCGACTCGGACGGCGTGGATTACGCCGCGAGCGGGGGCGGTGGGTTCGGGAAGCAGGTGGGCTCACATACGTCTGCTTGCTTGGTCCCTTTCGGGTCACGTGATGTGACCCTGAGCGATGCGAAACAAAGTGCTGAAACCCTCTAGTGGGCGGAATGTTTGCTCAGAAAAGAATAATAGTTTAATAATAATAATAAAATTTATGTTTTTCATTTATTGCATATTTTTGAGGAAAGCATAATTTCCTAGCTTGAAGTTGTAGATTCCAAAGAATTTGAATAATATTAGTGTGTTTTATTCGAGTTGACTCGTTTCTTTCTCTCTCTATTAATAATGTAAACAAAGATGTATTTGAATAGTTTTAACTCATGTCGCCTGTTTTTCGAAACATTCCTTTCCCAATTTGTTTCAGTTACACCACTTATGATATAACGTCACCTGCTCCCAAAGTGAGACCCCAATGAGCAGCTGTGTTGTCTACGTTCTACTTCCTGTCTATGTTCTACTTCCTGTCTACGCTCTACTTCCTGTCTACGCTCTACTTCCTGTCTATGCTCTACTTCCTGTCTGCGCTCTACTTCCTGTGTGCGTTCTACTTCCTGTCTATGCTCTACTTCCTGTCTACGCTTTACTTCCTGTCTATGCTCTTCTTCCTGTGTGTGTTCTACTTCCTGTCTACGCCCTACTTCCTGTCTGCGCTCTTACTTCCTCTGTGCGTTCTACTTTCTGTCTACCCTCTACTTCCTGTCTGCGCTCTACTTCCTGTCTGCGCTCTACTTCACGTCTACGCTCTACTTCCTGTCTAGGCTTTACTTCCTGTCTATGCTCTACTTCCTGTCTATGCTCTTCTTCCTGTGTGTGTTCTACTTCCTGTTTGCGCTCTTACTTCCTGTTTGCGCTCTTACTTCCTGTGTGCGTTCTACTTTCTGTCTACCCTCTACTTACTGTCTGCGCTCTACTTCCTGTGTGCGCTCTACTTCCTGTCTATGTTCTACTTCCTGTGTGCGTTCACGCTGCTCTGGCCTCCTGCAGGTGGAGAACGGCTGCCTGCTGAACGGAGCTTACCCAGCGAGTAGGAGCGGCACGGCGCCCCCTGCTGTCCCCGAGACTTTGTCCCGCCTCCCCGACCCGCCGGCCTCCGGCATCTACCTTTGACACGCGCAGTGGCTCCGCCTTAAACGTCGACACCAGATGAACAAATGTAGGCCTGACGTTTTTGAGGGGTTTTTGGTTTCCATTGTGACTTTTTTTTGTGTGTGTGTCTGTGTGTTGTATTTCGATTCATATTATCATACGAGTCTTTTGTTTACAATAATGCAGTTGAGAGAGCTCAGTTTGTTTGAAGTAATACAGAAAGGTCTTTAAAAACCAGTTCACAAATATTCAGAAACACAAAGCAGAATTTAGAGCGAGAAGCAAATAAAATATGGATCGTTCTGTTTTCCAATATTTCAATCTCATTTTCTGACGGGTATTTGTTATATTTTGTACTTTGTGAAAACAAAAGAAGACCATATTGTGTGTTACCGGGTAAATAACACAAATCAGTTCATTAGGAAAAGCTCAAAATAAATAGTTAAATGCCACTAAATTTAGGTAAATTTAGGGATTAATTGTTCAACCAGAAAATTACATTTTTCTTTTTTTGCATCTGCTGAATCCAGACTTTGTGGAATTGGGGTATATTTTTTGAGTTTTGGACAGTCGGAGAGACAGAAGGACACATGTGAAGGATTCCTCACCTGAGACGTGAGTGGTCCAACGGGGGGAGAGGAGCCGGGTGGAGCCCAGAGGAGCCCAGAGGAGCCTGGTGGAGCCCAGAGGAGCCCAGAGGAGCCCAGAGGAGCCGGGTGGAGCCCAGAGGAGCCCAGACGAGCCGGGTGGAGCCCAGAGGAGCCCTGAGGAGCCCGGTGGAGCCCAGAGGAGCCCAGACGAGCCGGGTGGAGCCCAGAGGGAGCCCAGACGAGCCGGGTGGAGCCCAGAGGAGCCCAGAGGAGCCCAGAGGAGCCCCAGAGGAGCCTGGTGGAGCCGGGTGGAGCCGGGTGGAATGTATCGAGGACTGAGAGAGCATCAAATGCAGTTTCATGTTGTGACTTAATTTTCCCCGTCAGAACAGAACGGCCGGCTGTGTGTCGCACGCACACGGACACACACACACACACACATGCTCTCTCACACACACACACACACACACAGGCCTGCAGGCTGTGTGGTTTCCTCACAAGTTTTCCGTCACGTCACAAGAATGTAATATTTAATTTCTTCCCTTGTTGAACTCGTCAACAATGAGATTAATCCATAAGTGTTTTGTTTTTTTTACTTTAAAATATGGAAATTATGGCTAGAAATCTGGTGCACTTTATTTCCAGCGTCCACTCAATGCAGATGTGCGTTCGGACGGACCCACAAACACGTCGTTGTCAGTGTCACCGTCTTCATCTTCCTCCACGTGGAGTATTGTTATTAATATTGCGTTGTCCTTTCAACTGACTCTAATAGGAGTCCATTCATTTCATTTTGTCGTCCTTGTCCTGAAGTTGACGTGTGAGACAAAGATAAGAAAAGAAGACGTCGGGCTCGGTGGTTTGCGGTCTTGTGGTTGGGGGGGTCAAAGGTCGACGCAAACGCACAGAGATGAACTCTGTGGCTTCGTTTGGTGGTTCTCCTCTGGCAGCGATGGACGTCAGAATGGACACTGAAAAAAACCAAATGTGAGTTTAAAGAAAAGATGTGAATGTTTCTTGTGGAGTTATTTCATGGCGAAGAGATGCTGAAAAGAGATTGCCACTTTAATCGTTGAAATACTGTCATTACTATGAGTATTAATATTATGTTTGTGTTGAGATGTGATACACGCGTGGTTACATGTCGTCCGAGTCGACTCGTTTCTTTCCCTTTCTTTTTGCTGCGGGCGGAAGCGTTTGCTCTATTTAATATGATGTGATGTGACTTATTAACAATGTGAAGAAAAAAAGATGTGTATATAAAAGCAAACCAGCTTTGACAAATGCAGGTATGTACATAGTTTTATGTCATCTCACCAATTTTGAGCACTAGTTTTAATAACACATGCTTATCGATCTCTTTCGTTGATTGATTTTCTTTCTTTTTTAAGTTGTAAATACTGTCCTCACACTGGACTCTGACAGCCGGACACACGGTGCCGCTAACATGCTAACAGGACGAGCTGCAGCTTCCACCCTCCGACTGCTTCCTTCGCATTCATTTCTTTTCTTCCTTTTTGAAATAAAAAGGAAGACATTTGATCACTAAAGCGTCTCCTCTGAGTTTGAGTCCACCCAGGAGGGTGAACAGCTAAAGGGGGGGGGGGGTCTGTGTCGTGTAAAGGTGCTATGTGAAGCGTTTTGACATTAATAAAATCGTTACCACTTTCAACGTGAGAGGTCTGAATTATTAACATCTGCTCATTGGTCCGGCGGACGGTCACATGACCTGCAACTATTTATCCCAGGCCATGTGACCGTTTACTGTAAATCACTAATGAGAATTTAAATAAAATAACATTTAATAAGCTTATTAAACATTTGATCCAACCACTAACTTTCTACCTTTTGTTAGCAGTATCGTGTGACCTTATCTAAAGCTTTTATTAAGATAAATTGGAATGGAAGAAAAAAGATCTTTCATAATATGAACACAAGTTGAGTTGGTACATACATATATATATATATGTGATATATATATAATGTGATATATAACACTCACTGGGGACACTTTCAGCAGAGCTGCACTCCAATGGAGCTGAACTCCATTGGCTTTTCTTTAAGTAAATTTAGCTCTTACTCTTACTTCCTTCCCCCTCCGTCCTTCGGGGCCCTCGTGGGGCCCTCCGGCTGCTGAGGAGCTCCATCGGGGACCCGGCTGCTGTGTCTCCACCAGGTGGCAGCAACACACAGCGGGCAGGAATCCAAACGCCGGGGGAGGCCTCTGTGTGCTGATGGGGGGGGGGGGGGTTAGAGGGACATGTTCCACACGCCATCTCTGGCTGAACACACCTCCTCCTGGCTGGAGAAAACACCACCCTCGCCCCCCCCCCCACACCACCACCCCCATCCCCTGCTGACGGCGACACCACCTGGATTCAACAATTCCCTCATCAGCTGTGATGAAGTCACACGTCGCTTTAATGGACCTGTTCATCATTGTGAAAACACACTCTGCTCATGCTAACGTGTAGCATTCACGTGTAGCATGCACGTGTAGCATGTAGGTGTAGCATGTACGTGTAGCATGTACGTGTAGCATGTACGTGTAGCATGTACTGGTCTGTTTGCAGACATCTCATGAAGGAGATTCCTTTGTCTGCTGTGTTGGTTCTGGGCAGGAAGCATTAAGTGCATTTATTGGATCTGTGGGTTCCATGGGGTGGGAGGGGGTGAGGGGGGTCGTGGGTGGGATGGGGTGAGGGGGGGGGGGGGGGGGGGGTCAATAGTGAACAGTGCTGTAAAAACAAAGGAATGTCCTCAAAAGCTGCTATAGATTTAGCTCAATAACGTAAAGACACGTGGAGGCACAGACTGACTCGGTGGACCATGTGCCTGTGTGAGATAAACTAATAAAGACCCCCCCCCCCCCCCCCCCCCTCGTGTCTTATATGAAATAAAAGGCCTCGCTCCCTGCAGGACGCATCCTACAATAGCTGACATTTCTAAATGTCAGCTAGTTTTACTCCTCCATCTGATCTGTGAATTATTCATCGGGGTTATCGATTTCATTGTCTTTATTATTATTATTATTATTATCTTTTTGATGATATTCTTTTCCCTTACGCACATCTGCCCATGAAGCAACTTCACATATTTTGAGTTCACTACTCAATTTCTGTCCATCTGTTCTTTTTTTCCTTTTGGTGATGATGATTTCTATGTGCTCTGTAAAGACGGTGTCACATATTCTTTACATTTTGACACCATTTCTTTATGTAATTAACAGGAAACGCAGCCTTTCGTGATGAGCGTGTCAGCAGCTCACAGCCCATTTGGGCCCGATGGAGATTCCTCTGAACATACGACACACATGACGCACAAACAAAGTATGAACAAAGACAGCAGCACAATTTCCATTTGAACACAAGCAGCAACGACCCGATGGTCCCCAGAGGATGAACCCTCGCAATCCGGGACCTTTTATTTCCTCTCAGGGAAACAAATCAATAAGTAAACAAACAATGAAGTAACTTCAACCTTTATTTACATGTATAATAATACAAATATAAATAGTAGTTGCTTGTGTTTGTCAGTGGATTTAAATCCTTTAACCACCGATCAATGAATTGAGAGAGAGAGAGAGAGAGAGAGAGAGAGCCGGAGGGAGGGGAGGGGAGGGGAGGCACGGGGGGAGGAGAGGGGGGAGGCGATAGAGAGACCCCGGCGGACAGCAGCAGAGAGGGAGGTTGGACCGGGAAACAATAGAGGGAGACGAGGCCCCGGGAACAGCGACATCGAGAGAAAGCAGCGGAAGGGGGGGGGTGGAGGGGGAGGCAGCGCGCGAGGAGTGACGCCGCAGCGCGCCGCAGCACCGCATTCTCTCCCCGGCTCTCCCGCTCCCCTCGCGCCCGCGGATTGTACTCGACCCGCTGGCCGGAATGAACCCCGCGGAAGCGGCCGAGGAGGCGCCCGGCGACCCGGACACGGACGCCTTCTTCAAAGCAGGTAGGACGGACAAGGACGCGCGCCGCCGAAAGAGAGGAACCGCTGGAGGGAGGAGAGGCACCGGGGGGGGGGGCGGCATGTCACCGGGGGGGGGGGGGGGGAGAGGAGGCGTGAACCGGGGGGGGAGATTGAGGCACAGCCACCGGGAGTCTGCACCTTAATTCATCTAAAGAAAAAAAAAAAAAAACACGAGAAGCGCTCCCGTGCGCGCGCATATCACACGTTGCGCGCACCCACGGCGCGTGCGCGCCTGCCCGCGCCGGCTCGTCTGTCTGATGCTGTACAAAAGAAAGAGGAATCATGGAGGCTCATGGAAACCTGTGCACGCTGTCTCTGTCTGTCTGTGTGTGTGTGTGTGTGTGTGTGTGTGTGTGTGTGTGTGTGTGTGTGTGTCTCACTGTGCATTTAGGTTAAAAGCAGCTGATGATGCTCCTGATGTCATTGATCTAAAATGGTCCAAAGGTGTTTGAAAGTGGATGTGTGTGTGTGTGTGTGTGTGTGTGTGTGTGTGTGCGTGTGTGTGTGTGCGTGTGACACTTCCAGAGCATAATGGCTCGTCCCACAGCTGCAGCTGGCATCATTGATTAATGTCGATCAAACCCTCAAACTGCTGCTTCCGTCTCTCGTGTGCAGCGATAAGGAAACACGGAGGAGAGACGCTGCTGTTGGATACGTGATGTTTCTCCTTCTGATCGATTAGCGGATGAGTGGATGAGTTTGGACAGCGGGTGATTCATCAGCAGCTACTCGGATAAATGATGTAATTGTTGTAAAGTCGTTTATCACACAACACGCTACTTAAACAGTCCTCTGGGTCATGTGTGATTTATTTGCTGCTTTGTTTTTCGGTGGCTGGTCGCTCAGAATCTTCACACAGTTTTCTCACCAAAGGAATAATTGAGGAATAATTAATCGTCTTAGAAGCCATTGATTTCTGCTATTTGCAATAGTCTACTCAGTCGAGTCATTTTAGCAGAAGCGTAGATCCGACCGGGAATCTAAATATCACTCACGACACGAGACACAGCGGAATTATGTGCCAAAATCTGCAGGTACGTCCCGGGTTTACGTGGACACAAATGTCCCCATGTCCTGTGTGGTGAGCGATGCGATACCTGTTTAAGAACACAAGATGTGGACCCCTCGTAACGCCCTCACAGACGGGACGCCCTCCTGCCCGCTTCACTCCCGATATAAAGCTGCATTCTGTGCCGTGAGCAGCAGGGGGCGACTCCTCTGGTCCCATAGGCGTCTATGAGGAAAAGACGCCGCGTGTCTCTCGTGGCGTCTTTAGAGTCGGATAGAGCATAAAGATCGGAGGGCTTTAGGGCGGGGCTAGCACGTGATTGACAGGTGGCCTGACTACTGTCTACTCTACGTTCCAAATATGATAAATCCCTTTTCGTCGGTTGCAAAAAAAGAACATAATGGCGAAAATGGCGTCTGCGAAACTGTTCGAAGCGCCTCAAAACAAGCCAATGTGGACATCACGACGACTACCTCCACTTCCTGTTTACACTCTGTGGTATTGGAGCGATTACATCAGGTCAAAAGGATCTAAGTTAGGATATTTTCTAGCGTACTTATATTTAAACTATAAGCCCGCTGTGCAAACCGCATAACGCAACACAACGACAGAATAACAAACACCGTCAGTGTCGTGTGTCTGCAAATGTGTGACAAAAGGGGACAAAAAAACAACACAAGCATATATTTTACATGTATGTATTTATGTATATCAGTAATGCATTGACGATATGTTTGAAACACACACACACACACGTGGTCCTGGAGGAGGACACACCCTGACTCCCTGTGTAACTCAGTACAGTAACAGTCCTGCCTATAGGTGCTTTATTAAATAAAACACGCAGTGTGTGTGTGCGTTGTGTAGAGTAACAGGCCTCCGTGTGTGAGCTCCTCCTCTTTGTCCCCCCCCCCCCCCCTCATAATATTCGATATCGGTTTGTTGGAACATTTCCAGCGGCTGGACATGGAAATCTACGGGTCGGACAGACAATGAGGACAGTGTGTGTGTCCGTGAAGCGCCGCAAAGGTGCACCGACTGGGGGAGGGAAGGGAGACAAGGGGGGGGGGGGGGGAAACCAGCCGCTCTGGGTGTGATGCGAGTGCTGCTACGAACAATGTTCTGACCCTGAGCGTCATGGAATGGAGGAAGTAAAGCTTCGAACTCACGCTGTGAACAAATGAAAGTCAAAAATCTGAAATCAGAAATCAAAAAAAGAAAACTACCGAACAGCTGTCGGGACACATGTGTCTCCATCAGCCGCTTGGACCTCAGCACAGAGGAAATTAGAGACGGCTCGGCGCCACTTCTTCTTTTCTGAAAGGGAGCCCAACTTATCGAGCTTATCGGCCGATACTGATAACTATCTGATACTAATGAGCCGTCTGCGTGTCCCCGACGCAGCCTCTTATTCAAATGTCCCTTTCAGTTGACTGTTCCGAGGACACACGGGGAGCCTCAAGATGACTTCACTTCCTGTTGAAGTCAAAGTCCCTGTCGCAGGTCTTCACAAGGTGCTTCTGCAAGCGTAAATAACCTCACAGTCCCTGTGGCGACCAGCAGGGGGCGACTCCTCTGCTCCCATAGACGTCTATGAGGAAATGACTCTACTTCTCTGTAGTGACCAGCAGGGGGCGACTCCTCTGCTCCCATAGACGTCTATGAGGAAATGACTCTACTTCTCTGCAGTGACCAGCAGGGGGCGACTCCTCTGCTCCCATAGACGTCTATGAGGAGATGACTCTACTTCTCTGTAGTGACCAGCAGGGGGCGACTCCTCTGCTCCCATAGACGTCTATGAGGAAATGACTCTACTTCTCTCTTGATTTAATCCCTCAGTGTAAACGTGAGTTTGAAAAGAAGGACAGAATTCGTATGAACTGGACAGAGGGACCTTCACGCGAGTGAGGTCAGCGGCCGCTGAGCTGCTGGCTCGGCACTGAAACCCGATCGACTGGATTATTAAATCATTCCCGCTCGAAAGCGAAGAGTCATTCGCCCCCTTCTTTCCATAAGTCGTCCTCCGGCTTGCGCGCGCTACGTTAAATGTACTTAGTACTCAGTTATAAGAATTCCACTCGGTTATTCCCGATGAAACGATGGATAACGGCAGTACAACAAGTAGTAAGAAGTAAAAATATCAAGATATTTACCCACAGTCAAGGTTGTGGTTTAATGTATTTAAATACTGCAAACAATGTGATCTATTGGGATCGTTTTTATGAGATGAGCTCACCACAGGTATGAAGCACAAGCTGTTGCCTTGGAGGAGAAGATAGATTGCAACACGTTATTGATCAGTAGCAAAATTAACCACAAATATTTGCACCGTTTCTGGAGAATTTTTCCCGTATCACAAATCGCACCTGTGTGCATCTACATGTTGTTGGCTGTTGGCAGCAGCAGGTACAGAGAAGTCTCCCAGCCTCCAACCTCAGATGTTACAGCTTAAAACGCTCCAATCGAATGTACCTGACTCGTGCTCCTCTCCGTGACTCCGGTTGGATTGAGGTTTCTTGGAAAGAAGTCACACTTTTTCTCATTTTTGCACGCTCGGGATAAAGGCGGCCGCCTTTAGTCGAAAACGTGGAAATGAAAATTAGGCCGAGTGATCACATTCACAGGAAGGAAGCAGCTGCGGGGAAATGAAAAAATAAAAAAGGGCAGGACTTGCTCCATGTTATGCCAATCAGCGGTCTATAAACGGGACCCTCGGGCGGAAACAGGAAGTGACAGCTGACGCCAGCTGTCCGTCAAAACACCGCCGTCACACGAGAGCACCAGACTAAACACGTGGGAGATGGTGATGTCACCCCGGTCTTACAAGTGAGCCTCAGCGGATCCTCACAGAGGCGCCCGAGGGAAGCGGCCCAAGCGGTTGGGAATGGAGATGTGTCGCCTTGTCCGCTCTTTGGCGCTGCGGCGCGTGGCGAGGTCGCGTCTCCGTGCGCGCTCTTCACGACACTCCAGCTGTGACGGGCGAAAGCAAGCGGCCAATTAGAGGCCAATCGTGTTGGTTAATCGGCGGCGAGCCCGGCGCTCGTCTTCACCGCCCGGCGCTCGTCTTCACCGCCCGGCGCTTGTCTTCAGACAGAGTGTGTGTGTGTGTGTGTGTGTAAAAAGGTTTACATGGATAAGCGTGTGCGTGTTTTAGACCTTACATGGATGAGTGAACAGTAATCCATTCATTCTCCCACACACACACAGATTAACCTCCTGCATGAGACGTCCGGCGATGGAGGGACAGTTTGAATGATTTGCATTTATTATGTGTGACTTCATTCTGAAACCGTAGTTAGGACCGTTGTCATTAATCACTGCTTGTGTGTGTCGGGATGAACGCTGCAGCTTCGAGATCAGTTACACCACTTGGACTAATCCACACTATTATAATCCACGGATGGCTTTCTTCAGCTCATGTCTCAAACTGACATCAATTAATAATGAGGAAAAATCCAGAATCTATCACAGCAAGCCAGAAGTTGTAACTGAATTACATTACATTACAACTCATTTAGCGGACGCTTTTATCCAAAGCTACGTACAATAAGTGCATTCAACCATAGGGTACAAACTCAGGAGAACAAGAAACAAGAAAGTGCAATTTCCTTAAATAAGCCAATTTACAATTTTCTATAGATGAGTGATGTTACAAGTACAATTTAAGTGCTACAATTTGTTAGTCTTTAGTCGAGGTAGAGTCTGAAGAGGTGTGTCTTTAGTTTGCGGCGGAAGATGTGAAGGCTCTCTGTGGTCCTGGTGTCTTCAGAGAGCGCGTTCCACCATTTCGGCGCAAGGACAGCAAAGAGTCGATCTAGTCGAGTGTTTTGCTCTCAGTGAGGGAGGGACGAGTAGTTTTGCAGATGCAGAGCGGAGAGTGCGGGTTGGGATGTCGGGTTTGACCATGTCCTGGATGCAAGCTGGACCCGATCCATTCACAGCATGGTACGTGAGCACCAATGTTTAGAACTGG